CTGAAATTCGGCGCCAAAATAATAGTGGCCTGATTTTAATAATAATAGTATAGTAGCCCGATTTTTTAATAAATAATAGTGGTCAAGAGAGGCCCGATTTTGAGCAGGTGGCCCAGTAATTACAGTTCAGAGTACCAAGATTGGCGCAGAGAGGCGCGGTTTCGAGCCCAGTTCTGTGCGCCAGTTTCTGGTCAGAATCGGCGAGGAGGTCGGCCAGGCGGTTAAATAAGCAGTGAGTTGCGTGTTTGATACCGCAACAAGCTGTAAATGTTCTGGGATGTTATGAATAGGCGACAGGTCTAACGGTCAATGAACGCTAAACGCTAATATTATGTAGTAAATTTTTGCCTAAACTTCATAAACGTTTTAAAATTATTTCTGACCGAAGACGCTATACACATAATATTCAGAGATTAGTTATTAAATGGACAAAATAAAGATGACGGCCATGTTTACCAATATTTCGGACCACATATATAAAAAATATATATTGTTAAAATTTGAGTAAATTTTTCTATCTCAGTCAATTATTCCAATCAATTAAAAATTGGAAATCATAACCTTCTAAATTTCCTGGAATTAAAATTATATTTCCGTTATCGGCTAATAGAAACTGCATGAATGCATAATTAAAATGAGACGATTGTAGCTTCATGTAAAGTGTTAATGTTGCATCAAACACGAGTCGTTGATGGTCTATATACGCACACGAGGCTATGTGGTGCAATACTATGACCTCGACACAGAGTCTCTGCATGTTTGCGTTTCAACTCAGTCAAAGTGTTGCAAAAATAGTTTCAGTTTGAAAATATATTTATCGTAATGCCTCCACACTAACATTTATAAAGATAACTCCTTTGAGCAGTGACCTATTACTAAATCCTCTGCGGTAATAACTAAGTTTCGATAAAGTGTATATATGTCAATTTTTTGCAATGTACTATTTTAAGTGCACATAGACGCTTCCACTTCTGCATTAATTATTGCAAATCTTTAAGCATAATATTGTTACATTTTTCTTCTGTAGGGCTTCTCTCCAGTATAGTGTCAGAAATATATCAATGAAGCGACGACAAAATGACGCAAAAGCGTTAACCTAAATAATTTTTTCTCCAGCAATTTCCGCTCAGAGTTTACAGTGCTGATAAAGAGACATCACAATCATTCACAATAACCTGCGAAGTATGCACGCAGGCAAAACAGAGATCATAAATGGTAATAAAGAAATATAAACAAGCAACTAAAAACGTTTAGCAATTACGTTTACTTCACAGCTTCAGCCGACGCATAAATTAATAAAAATCTGTACAAATTTTTTGGCAAAATATTCTGTAATTTTTGGAGTTTGATGACATTGTGCGGAGAGACTAGACGGTCTTTTAATCGTGCACACTATTAGTCAGAACCGTCTGTGCCAGGGACGCTTAAGTTCACAAACGAAGTTCACACGATATATCTGCCCCGAGCCGGTATTTTAATCGTTATTAGTCACAACTTTCCGTGCCAGGGACGCTTAAGTTCACAAATTAAGTTCACACGATATATCTGCCCCAAGCCGGTATTCATGAGTTCTAGAGGACAAAAGCGTTCCAGATATCATGAGGAGCAGAGGGTGGATGTGAATAGCACTCACACATGTGAGTACAGATACGTTCAACTCACACAGTTTCTCGTATCCTCAACGTATCTTGACGTGAGCACGCCTCTCCACCTTACCAGTTTGCTCTGGCTTTGCATCCTGTTCTACTGGTTCTACTGGTGGAACATAGAGGGCACGGTAGAGATTGAGACACAGTATTAATTAAAGCGAACAGGAAGTTCACGGGGAGCCTGTAAAGTTAATTGGTATGAGTTATTCCCTGAACAAACATGTGTTCAAGGGAACAGTTGCAGTCTCCGACAAGAAAGTGGGACCCCTTTGCAATTGCGTCTTGAATGGAAAACCTCCCCTTATAGCGTGTCTCGTGATAAATATTCCTAAGCATCTTATACATTTTAAAATTGTTTTGCCGTAAATAAGACTCCCTATTTCAATGCCTGGCAATGTTTGTCGAGAAAAATCGGTCATTGCCAAAAAAATTTATAAACCTACAATAATAATTTATTCAATGTTTTGGCATTCGAAAGACGGAAATTGGGAAAGAAAGCTTTGCTAAATTAATTGTCGTAATTAAATCGAGACAAGTGGCCTACGCAAGATGTGTCAATATTGCCACAATAATAACTATCAATAATGATAACGGAACACACGTTCTTATCATATGATCGTATAGATAAACAAGTGATAATTAGATTGTTCTAAATGGAAAGTTTATTGAAAACTTAAGTTAGCTTAATGTATATATTCATGTTAGGTAAGAAAATAATTTCATTATATGTGTGAGCTGTACAAAACAACAGAATATGTCAAGGTGGGTCAGCAGTATTGCAAATGTCGCTTAATAAATCATACATGAAAGATGGCTCTGACAGAGGGCTCATTCAGCTCTCGGTCAAACGGGGCTGCAACGTCTTCCTTTAATTACATATAAAACAGTGCTCAGCTGCATGCTTACTTGAAAGCTTGCATTCATTTACGTCTGCGTTGCATCCATAAAAGTTAACTCGAAAATTTCTTCACGGGCTGCTGCTTGCATTTAAATTGTATTCATAAATTAATGTTTCTCAAGTCAAATCATAAGTGATCTCTAATAAAGTCAAGTGCCGTGCTTCGCTTGTTCGACTCGAGTGTTGCAACGTTGATATCGTCTTGACCAATCAATTATGATTACCAGACTCGTGTTAGCTTATATGGGCCTTGATTCTTAAAAATTAACATGACCGTGGGTGCAACATTCATTAAGTAACTGTGACATGATCGCTTTTATAATACCAAGCTTCCTTAAAAACCTTGACTTTTTTACATTCGCATTTAGCAAACAAATGTAATTAAACGACCTTTTTAGATCAAACTGTATGAAGATGATAAAAGTTAGAAAAAATAGGCACAATTTTGAAAATCTCTTTACCCCGACTTGAACGATAATTAGATCTTAATCACAAATTCTATTAAATGTTAAACGAACATTCATTAATTCATTAATTATTGTTAAAGTTTTCCAATTTGAAAGTTTTGTATCAGCCATGGAAAGTCATTGCGAAGGACGTCTTCAGCATTCTTCAAATGAAGCAATTTTAGAGTAGTCTACGTGTTCATCAGCCATTTATGGCAAATTTTCCTCAAGTTCACACTAATATTTAAACTCAGTTGTGAGTGTGTCTTGTTTGAGTATGTTGCCTTCAACGAAAACGTTTCAATGATCGAGCCTACCCACTTAGGTTGAATGATGGGTTGGAACAAAATTTCGGAGGATGCCTTAATAAATAAGTATTAATTCACACGCACAAAACTATCAGAAGAGATCCAAATCGAACATAAGAAATAGAAAGAATATATTCTAAATCAAATAAAAATGAATTATAAGAATTAAACTCGTTCGTGTGTTACCTACGTCAATTGTAAACCATAAAAAATATATCTGTGTCATATATACTTGCAACCCGAGATTATAACATAGGACTTGACATACATACCACAAAGGCACAAACTGAGCCAAAGTGTCTTAGTGAAGGGAGTTGCTAGGGAAAATACTCGCTGCTTTATGAATCACTTATAGACTCCGAATAAAATTCGTCCTTCACATTTGATCCTGATTAATAATATCATCTTTCATGTTATTTAACTATTAATTTGCTGTCCTTAAATCAAATTTCAATTTAACATGAATATTGAAAGATAATGTCAGAAATAAATGACTTACTGGGTTTCATGTTATTGACGAGTTTTTAGATGAAGCACGTGGATAAATAAATTCTTTGATGGAAATTAGTGGCTGCCCATCACGTATTATTTCAAAATGAAATCCTACGGTTTTTCTGCCTTGACAAGCTGTAAAAAAACATACATTTTAAATAATTAAATTATTATATGAATGACTTGATTATTTTGTGTTAGGTCGTAAACATTTATCTTAAGTTAAAAATAACTAAGAAATAATCGGTTATTACCCCTTTCCTGTACTATTACGACTTCCACAGTTTGGAAATCCTGACATGAGCCATAGACTCAAGCCGTAAAATTATGCATCTATTCGTACAATAGATTCAAGTTCCCATTTAATGGGAAGTTGAGGTATGTTACAAAAAGTTTCTTTCCACAGTCAGTCTGCTAATGTAACGTAGAAAAGTTTTCATGAAATCCTTCATAAAACGTAATACAAAGTAAGTAAACTTCCGACGAGTAGTACAGAGTTTCTAAGTTGTATCTCCCTCTGGAACGAATTATTGTAGATTGCAGTTTAATGAATCCATTAAATTCGAAAGAATTCCTCCAAGAGATGTTTTAGTCTGAAAATCTGTAGCTTTCTACTTGGGTCAAGTATAATTGGAATTTTCCAGAGAGGACTTGTCACGTGTCTGCTGCGTGGTCTCTCTGCTACCTGATAATGGAAGCTCTGTTGCGTACGCGAGGCATCAACCGGACATGATCTCTGACGCTCAGACCTTCACGACATGCGGTTGTGAGCTGACGTCTCGTCAAGCGTGCTGTTGAGTGAGATCTTCCCACGCGGTCACTCAGTGCAAGATTCAGTTCCTCAGCTCGTATGTTAGTTTTTTCCCATATAGTACTGTCCTGTATAGCAACACAATGACGTAAAATTCAAATTTGTCTTGGATTTACGGGCAATGATATGGTAATGTTCGTTATATTAAATGACATGACGTTCCTGAATTATGTTGGCATTTTGCATTAATTAAAGATTAGTCATATTATAATTAATTAATAAAAATAATCATTCCTCTGTAGCCTCTCACACAGTGCGAAGTCTTCTCATGCTGAATACGAATTTCAATGCGATTAAGTATATTTACCGATTGGTCGATTGGTTCTTTTAGTTGTAAGATAGTTACCCTTTATTTAGGGTGTTCGGATTAAATAACAATATTACTCTGATCTTTTTCACAGGTTTTAATCAGTGACATGCTGAAAATAATCCGCAGTTGCTTAGGACTGATCAAAATTGTACTTGATTGTACGGGGGCAGGAAATAACTTAATAGAGTTCCATAAACCTATCTTTTATCAATCTTAGAATCATGATTAGCAAATTATTTTTAGGCAGCCTGGCCAAGCGGTTGCTCGCAAGGAAGAAAAATTCTATTCTGCCTTTCGTCCCAGTAGAGATTTTGAACGAAAAACCTATAGCAACAGCTCACACTTGGAAGCAATTGTACAAAACTGGCGTGACAGGCCAGGTTGGTCTGCTCAAACATACTCAGTTCACCGGTCACGGGCCTCTTGCTCAGCAAGCATCACTGCATTCTACAAGAAAAGATTTTTCCGGCAAGCACAAGGTCAGTTTACTTGAAAAAAATTCCATTATTAACTTTCAATCCCGAAGAATAATGAGGAAGAAACCGAATCCATGCTGTGAATGTCGTTTTCTAGGGACAACTTAAGTTTCAACACGTGGAGTTTGACTTGTCGGTAAATCTTCGCGCGAGTCTAAAATCATTAAGTCAATGCATATTTTTCATCAGCCTATTATTCGACGTCAAGTTTTCGTTGTGATTAACATTCAGCTAAGACGGGCTTGATGGACGTAAAACTTTTAGAACTATCGGAATGTATAGACGCTTACGGATGCTTAATTCTGATATTTGAACTTTATCGAAATGAACTTGAGATGAACTTTATTCCGGAAAATAAATTTTTCAGAACTTCGCGAAAACATTCTTGCGTCTAGGTAGTATTAACTGATCACTGTTCTAAACTGTCTTGCAATAATACCTATATTTTCCTTTATCCCTTTTATCATGCACTTGAGAAATGAGCCATATCATGTAGTAATTGTAGTATGCGGACGAAGAACAGGCGCGCAACTTGCACAACAGCGCCCGTGGCATTTTTTCACGCCCAAACGAATGAATTTGAATTTTTTTAATTTAATTTTTTTAATAATATGAAATTTTTTGCCTCGTTTCGCTGTGCAGAGCCGTACACAGCCTTCTTCAATATATTTGTATTTCAGACAAGCTGTACAAGGCTACCACTTCAATGAGATATTTGTTACAAATGTTACCGTAAGTTAGAGAATTAACAAGCTTGTTCATCTACATGGAATTAATTCCTGTTTTAAATTAAAGCCAAACGGCAATTAATTTTCATATATCGAGCAAAACTCGATTAGTTTCTGTCTATAGAAGTTATTTCAAATGCTCCAATATTTTTAGAAAATTGAGAGTTACGAACTGAACGTTCGTTAATTCTATCGAATTTTAGGGTTTGACTTTTATGTCAGTAGAGTTAACTGATCCAATTTTTTCTCAGTAATATATTCTATATCTATCCCCTGAGCGGCCGTGGTCTCTCGAGGCATGTTCTCAGCCATGCCATGTTGCTCTGCCCTACTTGCTAGGTGTTAAGGGGGCTACAGCTCTGCGCAATCAGCACTCTCAAGTGGTGCGCTGTAACACTTGCTAGGACGACTAGGGTATTGCGTGTTAAAAATGATCGTGATTGCTGCAAAGATGCAATCTAACTCATGCACAACCGTCCATGTTTATAATTTGCACATCCCTTCTTTCCAGGTTTTGTACGGGATTTTTTATTAACTTTAGACATGGGTCAATCATATTATCGTCTAACTTGAGTTCACTTTTTAAATCCCGGTAAAGCCCTGTGGTCCAACTTGAATGGGGATTTATACAGGATTACCTCAAATGTGTATTACAGAAAAAAAAAATTTATAAAATCATTGTTTAAATAAAAAAATTTTTGCGCTGCAATAAAAATATTTTAATTAAATGCAGCAGCGGTTTTTTTACTATAAATAAATTTGATTCAAAGTAATTAAGGATGGGGAATTTATAAACTATCGATGAGATTGATGTCGTAATTAGATTCATATATTCTTATAGAATTGGCATTCGGTTTGCAATTTCATCTTCATAGTTAGAAAGCCAAGACCCAAATATAAACGGACCGCTTTTACAGCCCGTTATTTCCATTTATTGGTGAAAAACAATTGAGATTCACTCATATAGAATTAATCGGCGAATAATTGTCATCAGAAGTAGCATCCAAGATGATAATCGTCCAAGTGAACATGAGTTTTGCCAATATATTAATTATAATCATTTATGAACTCAAACGGCACACTAGAGATAGTGTTTATTCAAGTAATAGTAATGAAATTAGTGTAATAACTAATAACATATATCTTATTGCTGTTTGATGCAAACTACGCAGCTCCACTCGTGCGCATCTCGCGTCCTGAATGTAATCAATGAAAGTTCAAAGTCGAGGTTGATGACACGAGCTTGTTTTTACTACTATTTTATCGCTACATTGCAAGGCTAAACTTGTGTACAGAAGAGGAATGATGTCGCTTGTCATAGCAGCACCATGAATTGAGACATACATGAATCGGCTCTCATGAATGAATGCCTGGCGATTACTCTGAAGGTCTTGTGTTGAGGCTGAATTATTACAAGGCTATTTCTACGCACATAAACTTCATAGTCTGACGATTGCATTGAGATTTTAATCTGTTGGCTATTTTTTGCACAAAATGTCGCGTGTTTGTTGTGTCTGCTTGTATTTAATAGTAGGATTTAGTCTCTTTCATTGGTCATGTTTAATTTACTAGGGCAATCGCGGCCGTCTTTATGCTGTTTCAGCTAATTTTATTTCACGGTATACACATTTAGTGAACGAAAACTGGAAAATCAAACCATGGAGATCCTATGAAAAGAGTCATACGTGTCATTTGACCAAAGCCAATAAATAACTTTTTGTTTTTAATTCCAAAACACATGGTTTTTTAGGCAGAACTTGAACTCTTAATTTTGTGAATGCCGGACGAATAAGACCCACGATGCTTCCACTAATTTCGTTCTTGATCCCCAACAGAATTTAGGTGCCTTCGCTGTGGCCCCGCTGCACGTCGCCTCATTCCCCTACCAGACGGACAACTCGTCCGGTCGCTGGCGCGCGCCCTTCAGACACAGAGATCAACTCAAGCACACGCGACGGATCGTCGTGAAGCTCGGGTCAGCCGTCATAACCCGAGCTGATGGCTGCGGCCTTGCCCTCGGCAGGCTTGCCTCGATTGTAGAACAAGTAAGGCTTGCTGCAGCTGATATTTTTTGTACATTTTTCAGGCCAAGCAACGTGTGACTGTATTCAGGCTAAGCACCGTGTTTGTTCTTGCTTTCGCTTATTCAAATGCCACATTTAACTGGAAGTGTCTTTTCTCGCAATAAAGGTTAAGCACTTCATTGCACAGGCTTTGTTTTAGTTCTTTCACCTGAAAAGACGAATATTCGAATCTTACTTTAAATTCAAGAATTTTGCTTTCTCGGAATTCTCAGGTAATTGCAGCACCTTTCCGATTGAATAGATTAGCCGTTAATTGGCTACCTTCTGCACTTATGATTATATCAACTAGTAGGTCATGGCTGCAATAACCTGCTGGTGACTGGTGATCATCATGGCAGTTGCTTTTACTAGCAAGCGTGTCGCAAAGTTTGTTTCCATCATGCAATTGACATAGCACGGAATTTGTGTGCCTAACTCCAAGTACATGAGACATGTCAGGCGTATTAATACAATGAAATGTGGCGCATCAATCGCGATCACTATTGCCTCAGGTGGCGGAGCTGCAGACGGAGGGACGCGAGATGATGATCGTGACGAGCGGTGCGGTGGCATTCGGCAAGCAGAAGATGCAGCACGAACTGCTTATGTCTCTGAGCATGCGAGAGACGCTCTCCCACAAAGACCCTCTCAAAGAGGTGCGTATTTCTTGAACAGGGATTTTGTGAGGGATAGAAATTAATAGTATTGAAGGCAGAAAAATTATTTTTGTTGTGTTAGACCATCACGCAGTGGAGAAGTTGAACTCGTTTGTTTTTCGCGAAGAATACGACTCGAAAGATCTTACAGTTAAAGCTTGTGACCAAATAGACGTGTTTTATAATTATAAGCTCAATGAATAGCTGCAACGCTCGCAAGTCAGTGATAAAGTTTATTTCTAGATAGTCCTGAGGAAAAAAGATGATTGACCCAAGTTAATGCACAGTAGGCAAAATATTCATCTGAAATATAGTCAACTTCGTTTTAAGTATCTTAAATGACACACTTGAGTCTTGACACTTGTACTTCGGTGAATTGTCTTGAAATACGAGTTGGTACATCCAAAAGCCAACTCATACGAAGTGTTAACACGTATCAGAATGGATTATCATCGTAATCCACATGTAAAGATTTCTCAACACCTCTGCTCTGCAGGAAGGCATGAAGAACTTGTTGGCACCTCGGGCGTCTGCCGCAGTGGGACAGTCGGGATTAATGTCACTTTACGAAGCAATGTTCGCCCAATACGGTGTAAGAGTTGCACAAATTCTCATCACCAAACCTGATTTCTACAGCGATGAAACTCGGATGAACTTGATTGCAACTATAAACGAACTTTTGACTCTAAACATCCTGCCAATTATCAACACCAATGATGCAGTTTCACCGCCCCCAGATCTCGAGTTAGAAGCTAGCAAAAGTTTGGATATCAAAGACAATGACTCTTTGGCTAGCCGCTTGGCCACGGAAATTGAATCTGATCTCATTATTCTAATGACCAATGTTGACGGCATCTTCAACAAGCCACCAGGTGCTTACGGTTCGAAGTTAATTGACACTTTCAATCCGGCGATGATTGGTCAGTTGGAGTTCGGGGAGAAGTCTGCAGAAGGCACAGGAGGGATGGATTCAAAGGTAAAAGCTGCTAATTATGCCTTAGCTCGAGGAACAAATGTTGTCATTTGTAATGGCTTGACGCCTGGTGCAATCAAAGGAATCGTGGGCGGTCGGAAAATTGGCACTTTTTTCACTTCTGAAAGCGATAATCATGTCGAGGTTGAGGCGTTGGCAAGAAATGCCAAGAAAGGGAGTCGCATCCTTCAATCTTTGAGCCCGCCAGAAAGATCTTCAGCCATAAATAAACTCGCCGATCTGCTTGTTTCTCGTCAGGAATATCTCATGGAGGCCAATGAAAAGGATCTGGCTGAAGCGCGAGCTTCGAAGCTGTCAAGTGCGATGATTTCCCGACTCGCTCTTTCACCCACAAAAATAAAGTATCTCTCGGATGGCCTGAAACAAATTGCCCAAGATTCGAAAAACACTTTAAATCGAGTGATGCAACGAACAAAAATAGCGGAGAACGTTTTTCTTAAGAAGATTACGGTACCAATTGGAGTGTTACTTGTCATTTTTGAATCCCGACCAGATTGCTTGCCCCAAGTAGCCGCATTAGCGATCGCCACTGGTAACGGTTTGCTACTTAAAGGCGGCAAAGAAGCATCACACTCGAACAAAGCTTTGATGAATCTCGTAAGTGAAGCTCTTTCGATGGTGGGAGCAGCTGGCGCAATCTCACTCATCACAACGAGAGATCAAATCTCCGACCTTCTTCAGCTGGATCAAGAGATAGATTTGGTGATTCCTCGAGGATCTTCTGAATTGGTGAAATCTATCAAAGAACAATCGCATAACATCCCAGTCCTCGGCCATGCAGAAGGCATTTGTCACGTTTACGTTGATAAAGCTGCGGATATCGTGAAAGCTGTCAAAATAGGTGAGGAATAACAGATCGAATATAATGTGCAGTAGATGTAGTTCGCAGCTTTGCAAGTTGTTTTGTAAATTAAGACTTTCTGAATGTTAGGTTTAGTTGACATTGTTATTTTTGCTTAAGCTATTAACATTAATTTCGGCTTGAACACTTACTTATTTGTAATACATAAATAATTTGTCATCGCCTGTGAAAACTAATCTCGACTTGTCTCTCAATTCAGTAAGGGACGCAAAATGCGATTACCCAGCGGCGTGCAATGCCATGGAGACGCTTCTGCTGCATCGTGATGTGTACATGAAGGACCAACACTTCGACAACATTTGCCAGGAGCTCAAGAAAGAAGGAGTTCAGATTTACTCTGGACCCAAGCTCGCCAAAAACCTAACCTTCGGACCACCGCCCGCAAAAACCTTCAAGTAAGATTATGGGAATGGAGACATTTAACGTCTGCCAGACTATTTTACATTCAAGACCGTAATTCAAGATTGAATCGCGTTTTCTCTGTCATAGACAATGTTTGCTTCTGATACTGAATTAAAATATTACATGGTAGATATATAATAAATTGTTTTATGTTAAAAGAATACCTGGAATACAATTTTTTTCATTTTCCACAGAATGGAATACGGCGAACTAAAATGCACCATAGAAATCGTTGATAATATCGACGAAGCCATTGATCACATCCACACATACGGCTCGTCACACACCGACGTGATCGTGACTGAGGACAAGGAGGCGGCAAAATACTTCCTAAACTCCGTTGACTCCGCCTGTGTCTTCCACAACGCCTCATCTCGCTTCGCAGACGGGTACCGCTTCGGACTGGGAGCCGAGGTCGGCATCAGCACCTCCCGCATCCATGCTCGAGGTCCTGTAGGAATGGAAGGACTCCTCACATCCAAGTGGATTATTGAAGCTGACGCCGCGGTTGCTTCGGAGTTTTCATCTGGCATAAAACAGTACCTTCATCAGAATTTTCCGGTGGACGAAGAACAAGATCAGGCTGAGCGGAACTTGGAACTTGAAGACGAAATTTCTGCGAACTGATGATACAGGAAGCGCCTTCAGTCGTTAAAAAAACATTTGCTTGTCCAATATTTATTGAAGCGCCTCATTTTTGCGAAGGTTTCATTGCTTTGCCATTTCAGCTGATGCCAACGTTAATCGCTCCGCATGTACTCTTGCTTCCGTTTTGTCTCGCTCTCCAGTATTATATTTGGAGTGTTTTAATGAATGTCTATACCAGATGTTTCCTTCAGTTTTGCTCGCAGTTTTCATTACTCTTAAAATGATTTAATTTTCCATTAAAGTTGATGCATACTAGATCAAAGTAATCTCTTAACATTTCTCACAGAGAAAGTGCTCATTTCGAATGACTTCAAGATGTTCCCGTTGTCATTTGTAACATGTTGTCATTTGTTCTGCGTTGTCATGGCAGAAATTCCTATTTATCAGATTAACATTAGTGCCGTTCTTACCGCCAGCAAGTGCGTACATCAGCATCGAAGCTGCATATAATTAAGTGGACATGTGAGTAATTTGGAGTACGAAATCTAATTGAATGCACTCAAATTCAAGCATTTAATCGAAGGTATCGCGTGTTTGATCAATTATTAAAACTTTATAATTGGTTTTGCGTTAAAAAAAGACAATTTCGGTTCAGTAATACTAATGAATTAGGGTATTAATGTACATCTGCTCGTTAAATAAACCAGATACAAGATCCTTTATTCGTGAAGAAACAGTAGGCGGGTCGGTACAAATAATTTTGCTAGAAAAAATACCCTGTGAATGGACAATATTCTTTTAATTCTTATTACGAATAGACAAGGCGTCGTCCTGTAGAACATTGCCGTATGCCTTGAACTTATGAGATGTAACAAAGTATGATATTTATAATTTACAGTTAGGAAAATAAAATATTGTTCCAGTACAGTGCTTTATTATTTCTGATTATCAGTGAATGGACAATCTATAGAATTGCTTAGAAATAAAACTTCGATAATATGTAAAAAAGCTATACATTAGGATTCATCATCATAACTGAAATCTCGGTTCCACTACTTCTATGCGCAACTACTCGGATTTAAAGTGACCAAGATAACATTCTAGCATTTAACATCAAAGGCAGTACACTAGCGTTCATCTATCTCACGCTGGGGCTCGCTACGATCTATTCACAAGCTTCTATCGACGAGAAGAGTCAGCAGAATTGAACGGCATTCCGCAGCGCTACATCAGCGAGGCCTTACAACTGCAACAATACCAGTACAGCTGCACCGATAGTGACAATAATTCCAGCACATCTGCACCGATAGTGACAATAATACCTGTACAGCTGCACCGATAGTGACAATAATACCAGTATAGCTGCACCGATGGTGACAATAATGCCTGTACAGCTGCACCGATGGTGACAATAATTCCAGCACATCTGCACCGATAGTGACAACAATACCTGTACAGCTGCACCGATAGTGACAATAATTCCAGTATAGCTGCACCGATGGTGACAATAATTCCAGTATAGCTGCACCATGGTGACAATAATTCCAGTATAGCTGCACCATGGTGACAATAATTCCAGTATAGCTGCACCATGGTGACAATAATTCCAGTATAGCTGCACCGATAGTGACAATAATACCAGCACAGCTGTACCGATAGTGACAATAATTCCAGCACAGCTGTACCGATGGTGACAATAATACCAGCACAGCTGTACCGATAGTGACAATAATACCAGCACAGCTGTACCGATGGTGACAATAATACCAGCACAGCTGTACCGATAGTGACAATAATACCTGTACAGCTGCACAGATGGTGACAATAATTCCAGTACAGCTGCACCAATACACGACTGCTTCACTCAGCTATAGCTGCTCTGAAAACATGTTTTGATCCAACGCCAATCGTTAGGTCGGATTTATGTTCACAAACACGATAATTTATATGATGAAACTTGGATAAATTTTGGGTAATAAGTTTGAGAACTGAAATATAGTTCTGATCTAAAATTCAATCTTCCGTAATAGAGTTCATGCATACGAAACGTCGTTGGTCGACGATAAACCCGATTATAATTGAAATAACATGATTCGACATCAAAGCTGCCTCGATAACACCTAAGCTAAAGCTGCTGTGATAGATGCACGTCAACTAAATTCTTCGTCTGTTCTTATTATAACCTAAATTACCTGGTGTTACTTCTATGTGAAAACTCGTTCCTTGACACCATTTTAAAACATAAGTGGAAACCATCCAATGTTAAAGCTATAACAAAAGCTCTGAACCTCTATGGAGCATTGCGTAATAAAGGGAAATGTGAAGCATAAGTCGGGAAAATGCATTGCACTTGGGATAAACACCAAGAAGGTTCATTACCGTGAACTGACCGAGATAAAAATTACGAGGACCATAAGTAGGGAAGAACATCGGAGCACTTAACCTGAGCTTAACACTAGCCAAGACCTATCTCGAGGAAACGCAAAAATATGTAAATGGAAATATTAAACGAAATTAAAACATACGCGTCACAGGGTAACTGTAAGCGACAAATTTATTTCTTCATGTTAAATTTCGCAGCAGGTCAATCGATAAAAGCTGCCCATGTTCCTTTAAAACAAACATAATGTGCATAGTGAAAGACATAATCGAAATATGATATAAGCACTATTTATGATACGTTCGAGAAGCATTAAATCTACCAAGAAAAATTAGTGTTGAGACATAATTGTTGAAGACATGAGAAAAAAGCTCAGTAACGCAACTTCGATATTCAGACTTAAAAGAGTTATCAATTTGATAATTTATGGGTTTAATCAACTAGTGCAATAATAAGACGGCGAGTGGAAGCTCTCCAGGAAAGTGAATCATTGTTAAAAAATCATAGACCATGCATCGAAAGGAAGATTCAGACAAAAATAAAGTATTTTACCGGTCAGTTAGAAACCGTAACTAGCTGGATGCTATTCCGCTCTTTGTTAAAAAACTGGAATTCCGGCGGAAGGCAACATTTCGTTTCCACAACAGCAATATAGTAATTTAGAATTTTTCGTGACTTCTTATTAGCTGTAGATAAAAATTCACCGTCAATATGAGCTGTAGGAAGAAGAGAGATACGTGATATTCAGATTAACTTACGCTGTATCTAGTGAGGCACTTAACTCTAGCCTACGTGAAGTAAAAATTCTATATGATATAATAGCGCTGCAAAATTTAGCACTGCCAACAGTGTTTCTCAAGCGCTCTCGTTCAAGACAAAACATCCGAGTAAGCCAAGCTGCACGACACAATACATTCCAGCGTCAGTAATATACATATCATTAACCATAAATCCACTCCGCATAACCGTTTTTATCAATTCAAAGGATGCGTACAAGTCAACCTTGTCAAGGCACCAAGATAGCAGTCACGGCTCAGCGCTCGTCCAGAATATTAAGTCAATGCTATAGCAGAGTGTAAAATACAGCGTATATATCGGAAATTTCATTAAGCTAAATAGAAGCCCATGAAAAGTGCTAGCACGTGAACGGAAAAAAATCCATTTACTTGTTTTAAATTTGTAAGATTAAAATTGACATTCATATATTTGTCAAAACACTACTGTCCCTCACTGCAGAAGATTTGAACAGCAAAGCAGGTGAATTCCACGATTAATACTTGCTCATTGGCACGTCCTGCCTTACATTTCAACGAGAAGTAATGTGACCAAACGGAGTTTTAATCACATTTCGTTACGCTACCACATAACAAAACCACAGCAGCAATCGACATGAATGGCAATCTAACTATTATATAGCAGAAGTATATACCACATAAGATACTTAGGAATTTCCTTCGAACGAGAACACGATTGATTAAAATGCGCGTGATGCATTGAAAATGTAGGCAGGGAACTTTCCAATACACAAATGCTGGTTCATGATAAACGCCTTTTGTGATGAACGCCTGAAGCCCAGGAATATTTTTGAATTAAATATTTTTATTTAGGCCAATATTGATTGTATACAGGTTGAAAATCTCATTCCCATTGCAAGAAAGGTTGATATGACATAGGCCACAGAAACAATTAGACTCGAAGACAGATATCCACAAAAATGAGATTCGATCAAAAATATAAAGAGAAGCGATACAAGACGATACAAAAAAATAGATACGCGGATCTAAAAAGCCACTCGCACAAGACGCTGGCCCTGACAATACGCAAAGCACTGTAACAATGAATAAATTAACTCAAATAATAACAGTACAAGTCTAGCACCAGCAGCACTGCAAAATATGCACACAATTAACTAATAGACTCAGCGAGAAATGCATAGAATAATTATTGGGTGAACTGAGCAGTCGAGTAAGCATTCACAATAAGAGCGATGAAATAAATGCACAGGGAATGTAAATATTAGCTAGTCGGAAAACAACGTAAAATTACGAAATCTATTCATTGCACTTAGCTAATTAGAACAAAGTTCGCACTTAAAAAATAAATCTGACGCCATAGTGGACATCGCACTCTCCCAGTGCCAGTACCTGCACGTCGCATGACAATTCCTGCACTCGTCTGTTTCGGAAACGAAGAGAATAGAAAGTTCGTAAGAACACCGGGACTTAGGGATTAAATTTTGCCAAAATAGTTGACCGAATAATTAGACAATATATAATGATTTATCTTTTCAAACCTGGAGGTGACACTTTTGCCTAGTTACCGGTACATGGCTTCTGCCTAAGAAATGAAGTAGCCGCTCCCACACCTCCAAGCAAGTACCATTTTTAGGTCAACCCTCATTCCCATATTTTTTCACTTCTTTTAAAGAAAGAATTAAAAATGAAAATAAATTATGCAACGATTTTTTTCAACATGAAATTTTTTGACGACGATAATGACGACCAGTTTGCTAGTTAAACACTTTCATTCCTACATTTCAGTGAGTGGACACTAAATGTAGTCATCACAAGTCAATTATGAGCATTGTACAGACTTTATGCCTCCTATTAGCGAGATTTTTCAACAATCAATTATTGTGTACGCAATGAATTTGTTAAGACTTAAGATTCTCTATAAAACTAAATTCAATCATAATAAAATCTCGAATAGCGGATCCCGCACTTTATTTTTTGCCCATTATAAGACGAATAAAATGTGATATACGCTCGTAGAAAAGGAAATTCGACTAATAGAGTCTCAACTAGGAAATCAATAAAAATGACGTATAGCTATATTTTGAGACACGCAGTTCATTCAGCCTTAATCAAAATACGTAATAAAGCAATCAGAATTACAATTTGTTCAGTCTCCGTACACTACCGGGTCATAAAAAGCACACATCCGTCATGCAACTCCCTCTAAGAGGTCACCGAGTCCGTGGTAATTTTAGGTACAATAATTTATCACGAACTGTGATCGTATTTTGATTGATGCGAAAATGGATTGAGAGTAACAGGATCCAAGTAAATGAAGAGATCTGACGAAGAGCTGAAAGCTACGAGAGACCCAACAATCTGATTGTTAAGGAATCATTTGAAGGAATAGGAAGTATGGTAACCTGTACTTAAAAACACACGAAGGGGAATAACAAAAGCGAAGTCTCCTCATAACAGCGCCTTTAGTCGGTTGTCTGTTGTCGAATTTCGATTTTCTCGACGGTCATGTCAGGATTCATGGCGGTGGCCTCCTGAATAGCGTCGGCGAGTGCCTGGTCGTGGTCGATGGGGTCGTTGCCGTCGCTCTGGATCGTGATTTTCTTCTCAACGCGCGTCTCAACAACACCGTCGCGCTCGGTCTTGTACTGCACGAATCAGTGCCAACGTTAACGTTCAATTTAATGATGTTGCAAACTAGATTGCGAGTTTATTGACAAATTATCAATCATTCTTCACATCATATCAGAGATGATATAGGTATTCAAATTAAAGTTCATTCTATAAGGGGAGAGAGGTTTGGGTTAATTTTCCTCGAGATCTTCTAAAATTTAATCCATGAAAATAGGAAAAAATGCAGCCAATAACAAGATATCATGAAATAACAGCAAAATAATAAGAGTCGAAATTTCATGAAAGACTATAAGCGTGGGAGCTAGTTTTAGTAAATGCAATATCGTGTCAAGAAGACTCCCAACTAAAACCTAGTAACGCTACTCACCTTAACTACATAAAAACGTTAAGAGACAAAATCAATTCTCTTTTCACAATCACTAGAATCGGGAACCATAGCGGATTCATCCGACATCCTTCATTCACAGATCATTTTAGCTTTAATTCCAGGATAGCTTCCAACTGACGCATTACAAAATGTTAGTGCATGCAATGCAGTATGTGACCATTTCTCATCCCATTTTCCTTGTAATTTATCAAAAAGGTTTTTTTTTTCAATTATCGAAAATTTTATTTCAACAGTAATTACCTAAAATGTCATTTACAAGGAATTTAAGCTTTTACTAACACTTTTCGCCAACTACGTTTTTTTTTCTCTCAATATTTGTATCGAAATTTTGTCATTTAATTTTAATTTAATGTCATTAGAATTATTGAAAATCTCATTTCATTTATCGAATGTCTCATTGCAATTATCTAGAATGTCATTCCAATTATTACAAAGTTCATTCATGGTCTCAGATCTCAAATGACAAGTTAAAGGACAAGAAACTTACGGTAATGGTCTCAACGGTGCGGGTTTTGCTGGAGATCGACTGGCTGCTTAATATCTCCGTCTCGCCATGAACGTCGTCAGGATTGATCACCCCAACCTGTAGAGCAAGATTACTCTAGTCTCCTAGTGCACAATTAAACCTATTGTTTCATTTCTTTAAACCACAATTAAACCTAGTGATCACCCCAACCTGTAGAACAAGATTACTCTAGTCTCCTCGAGAACAATTAAACCTATTGTTCAATTTGTTTAAAGCATAATTATTGTTTAAACTACAATTAGACCTACTACTGATCACCGCAACCTGTAGAGCAAGATTACTCTAGTCTCCTCGAGCACAATTAAACCTACTGTGATATTCGCGCATTTTTTGGAATAAATAAAAAAATTAATTTGTACAGTCAAACATGAGGTTTGTATGGTTCTAAGTTCTAACTTAGGTAGAATTCGTATCATGCAGTCGCTCATTCATCAGTTTACTGTGCACTATTAAAAAAAATACACAAAATAGAGATCACATTAAGCAATTAATGTAAAACTCGGCCCCTATTAGCTGATTTGTGAGATTTTGCTAATTAAAAATTATTCGTGGCATTAACATGTACCTAAATAATAATAAAACAATACAGGGAAGTTATGTAGAGAAATTGCTTTCAGAACAAATAATGGCATTTCAGCAGACGTTCATCAACATCCGAAAAAATGCATCAAGAAATTGGGGATATTTGATGTAGGGAGATTACATAGGTTTTGATTGTGTAGTAAAATCGTGCATCAAGACAGGAAAGAGACAATATCAGGCCAGCACAAATATCAGGAAATGAGACGCACATCTAGTTGTCCATGCAAGGCTGGATAATAAATACAAGGCTCTCGAAATTCAGCTGCAACACATGCGGTGTGATAAAATAATTTTTTCCCAGATGCAATGGTGACATTAATTAAAAAATGAGACAGAGAGAGTCGTTAAACAAATTCTTATCAAAATAATTGCAAACTTGAAGAAACCGACACAACGTGACGCTGGCGACGTGAATATGGTCGTCAGCCAACATAGTATCCGAATGTCATTTTAATGCTCATAACATTTTAACCAAATACTGATTTTTTCTCCCAAATTTTAATTAAATTTTTTCAGAAACTAAGTAATAGGGATCGCTTCCCCCAGCCGAATTTGTACAAAAATTTTTTAACAGATCGAGTTGAAGTGCCAAAGAACCGTTTGTTAACCATCACATCAGCTCATCAGTTACTACCGCTTCGAAAAACTTTAATAAGCAAGTAGTTAAATTTGCGTTTGTAAGTTGCTAAATGAGAAATTTTGAACTACCATGTCATACGATATGGTACAACAGAGAAATCGTGTATAAAACCAAACACCGGTATCGTGAACTACCGACCTTGATAAGCTCCCGGTCCTCGACCGGAGGAGCATCGTCGAGGGGGTCCACTGACGTGCCAGAGTCGTCGCTGCCGCTGGAAACTGTGCGCGAGCGTCCGGGACTCACGGACGCGCGCACGTCCGAGTACGGGATGCGCGTCACGTGCGCCTACTCGTGCAATTGCAGCACGTGCGCATACGTATTCATACAACGTTTTATGCACGCATACAACATTCAACTCATGGACGCAACATTTAAGGCAAGCACACGACGTTCAATTCACGTAAACAAAATTGTACATAAACACGCAACGTTCAACTCATGGACGCAACATTTAATGCAGGCACACAACGTTCAATTCACGCACACAACATTCAACTCATGGTCGCAACATTTAATGCGAGCACACAACGTTCAACTCACGCAGAGCACATGCAACGCAAGCACGCAGCAATGTGCCAATAACAAACAAGAATTCATGTGCTAGTAACACACATGCGGTGATGTGCCGGTAACATGGCAGCAGAAGTGTTCAATGTAACCCCATAAACCACGGATGGAGCGTACATTCAAACATTCCCATTAAGCGGTGACATTGGCATCGGTAACATTCAGTGTTCATCGCAGCAGTGCTTTCATGACGAGCAGAAATTTAATTATTGTCGAGCAAGAGTTGTCGAGATTATACGATGCAACGAGCGGCAACAGAAGCAGGTTGTGTTCGAAGGGCGGCGATGCAGGAGGTGAAGGATGAGGTAAGGAGTCACACCACCGAACAAAACAGGAGAAAATGAAAAAAATTAGGTTCGGTAATTTGACAAGTAATACGGTAATATTAATAAATTGACAAATAATAATCTTAATAAAAATTCAATGTGTTTCTGGGATTCGTTAGACAAATTCTTGTCTTTTTGCAAACCCTGCTTCAATGTAATTCTGTTTTTGGGACAGAGCAGATAAACTTTTCTGCTTGTAAAATAATTATTATTCTTTCCGTTAAACTAAAAACAGATAATGGGGGTCACGAGACTGGAGATTCTGTGGTGTTTAGAGACAACCGCAATTAAATCATGCATAAGTATCAAGATTAAAAGAAAAGTATATATAGACTTAAAGATATGAGAATAAGGGAAAACTAATCCGAATACTTAAATTCCGTGGGCTTAAAAGGTAAAAAAAAAATTCCAAAACTCACACGGAACATTGTAAACATCTCATACGACAATGACACTTGAGTCGCCACTGTACTTTTAATGCCGTCCTCAATTAGAAACGATCTATTTGTAGTAACGATTGAACGTGAACTATTTGATTTGTAGTTGGTGGTAATTTAGCTATACTAAACGTATTTCTGGCCATTAATACAGACATTATTGACGAATAGCTGAGTGGCGACTCGTGCTTCATTGTCGGTAAATGACACAAGGAACAGTGGGTACAAAATCTAAGAATTTATTGGTGATATGAAGGAACACAGTTTTGGTAAACTTTTAAATCCATTCCTTGCACAAACAAATTTACATGCAGGGATCATGACTAGGTATTGCCAAAAACACTTATTCTTGAATAGTCTAGTTTCTAATAAATAGAAAAGTCTTCAGAAATTTTTAATTATTCAATAGCACAATGTTCGTGCAGTGAGCAACAGCGCTCTTAGGACATAAGTTTCATTTCGAAAAATTTATATTTGAGTAACGAGGTATCAAACTTTGACAACCACAAAGAACCTTGAAAAGGCTGATCAATATTATTTCATTCCTTAATTCAATCCTACATCACACGCACGGTTACTGAAAGGTTTTAATAACTTCTGAAGACATTTCCTGATCTGAAACAAATTGCGTATTAGCGAGCAAGCTCGACGGACCTTGCCAAGGCCTTCAGGAGCGGCGGCTTGCATGAGGCGGCTCTGCTTCTTGGTCTCCTGAGTGACGATGGTCTCCTCCTGCTGACCTTCCTGCGTAGTCGTCGTGGTCGCTTTGAACGTCTTCTCTTGCACCTGCAACACCAAGCACGCTTCAGCCTCAAGCACCACGTAATATACAATGATCCAACAAAACGGGTCTTATCGGTAATTCTCTACACATTAATCTTGGAGATAATCAAACATTTGTTCCCAAACAAAATTTAGATGAGGGCCCGACTATGCAATAGGAGAGCACGTAAATTACGCACTAGCATTATGCCTAGGACTCGGAAAGCACGTGAATTAGCCGCTCTAGATCCGCTTCGGCATAAGGTTTGAGGGGCAGCTTCTAGGCAGCTTGCACACGTGCTATAACTCGGCTCGGCCATCTCTCCCCATACTCTTAGGCGGCAATAAAGTTGGAAAGAAGATTCTGACCATAAGCTAATTTCGATTGGTGAGGCCAAGGAGACCCAAAAATAATCATAGGCCGTGTGAAGCGGTTCTTGAGCAGAACCCTAGGCGTTACCCAAATTTTGTTAGTTATAATCTAATTCAATGTGCAGTATATACGAATTTCAGACATCCTCTGTGCTGTTCAGTCTGGCAATAAATCCCTGTATGAGAAAATTTCAAGGAAAAATCTTTGAAAAGCTTTATTTGGTAATTGAGTTTATCGTTCAATGTATAACATGAAAATCTAGTGTAAATCTAAAATCCTAACATGATATTGAAATCAATAACAACGAGCTTTCTCTGTCAATTATTTTAAATAGACTCCTTTTAGTTTACCAAGTCACAGTAAAGAAGGGCTGACCTGCTGAATTTTCTGTTGATTACCTAACGTCTAAAATCAATAAGGATGAAATAAAGTATAAACGTTCATCGTAAAAATAATAAAATTAGTCCTAGCAAAGGAAGCTGACCTGCTGAGTTTTTTGTTGAGCTTTGGTGTCCTCGTGGTGCTGCTCGCTGATGGTGGTCACTGTCGTGGCTGTGATGTGAGCCGCACGTTCAACTGACTCGGCAACCTGTACATGTAATACCATGTGAATAAACGCATAATTAACTTCACTCCGATTGACTACTCAAATCTACATTGGTTACGTGCAAAAACTGACCTGATTGGTGGCCTTTTCGGTCGGTTTCGTTACGGTCGAATTTCGTATTCGTGATTACAAATATAATCCGCGTCACCAATGCCGGTTTCAATTTACAAACTTCAAGTTCATATTACTATCCAACATATATAATAAGCGGTTTATATGAACTATGTCGTTTTTCGGCATTTATGCCGAATTATAAATGTTTATTTATTCTAATCATTTCAGTATAGCTGGAATAACATGACGCAGCGTCAACCCTTGATGATATTTTTGTTCCTTATGTAGATATGTGACAGAAAAGCCGTAACGCAACTGCAAATAACATCTAGTCACTTCACTTCAAGGTACGCTATTGAATACAAACTACAAGCATGGGAATCAATTGATATAAATAAAAGGGCAAAATAATTACAGGCTTCAAGTTATTTGTCAAGGACACACATAAGTGCATTAAAAATTGTAAACAAAATAATACGACAAAAAAACGTGCAATTCTCATGACAAAGCAGGTATTGATTGGAAAATAAATGACAGAAATACGTCGCTAAACAAAATCAGAATCTAATAAAACACAGAAACTGACAACAATTCCATAATAAATAGTTGGTACCTCACCTCAGCGCGTGGTGTGGTCCGTGTTGACGGTACCTCACCTCAGCGCGTGGTGTGGTCCGTGTTGACGGTACCTCACCTCAGCGCCTGTCTCTTATACACATCTAGATGTGTATAAGAGACAGGTGTTGACGGTACCTCACCTCAGCGCGTGGTGTGGTCCGTGTTGACGGTACCTCACCTTGGTCTGCTGTGGTCCGTGTTGACGGTACCTCACCTTCGTCTGCCGTGTGGTGCTGATATTCACATCTCCCGAATTGAAGTCTTCAGTTTTCTGTATCATGGACTCGGTGACCTCTCCTCCGCTGGCCACCATGGTTTTCTTAGTGGTAGTGCGGACAACTTTAGGTCCGGACGACGCAGGGCTCGAGTCTCCCGATGAAGTTCGGTCAAGATTTGCCCCGGCGTTGCGAGCGGCCAAAACAGACCCTGGGACGGCGTGGTCACCAACAGTGTAGCTGCGGTTAGACACATCAGCTTGACTCAGTATACCAGACTCGTGCATGAGTCGCTCAGAGGCAGCAAGTGAAGAATCCAAGTCCCCGGGCTGTGCTTCTTCACGCGCCTCCTTGATCACCGACTCGTCAGAGTCTGAATCACTTGAAGAATCCGCTGAAGATGCACTGCTGCTGCTGCTGCTTGAGCTGGACACTTCTTTCTTGGATTTGCGACCACCAAAAATACCAAATCTGCTCTTTTTCTTCTTCTTATCTTTTTCTTTCTTAGCTTTCTTCTCGGATTCTTTTTGAGCTTTAAGCTTAGCCTTCTCTTCTTTTGTGAGCTTCTTGCCATCCTTCGTTCGATATTTGTTTTTATCAGACTTCTCATCTTTTTGTTTCTTATTCTTTAATTTTCCATCCTTGCTTTGAGCGAGTAGACCGTCAGCCGCGGCTCCCTCTGAGATCACCGCGTCAGCAGAGGAGCCTTGAGGGCGTTCTGCGTCAGCAGACTCCACCATGACATCATCAACTGAAGTTTCAGGTCCACCACTGGGTGCTCCTTCCCCAAGATTTTGTTTGTTCTCCTTACGAGCCATTACGGCAGCATTGACCTCCCCGGGGGAGTAATTGAAAGCCTGAGCTTTGCCGCGCTTGATAGCTGCGTTGCCCGGACCCGCGTCTCCCGGAGATTTCTTGCCCTGTCCGTCGTAGCGGAAACCGTGGTCGGTGGGCGAATAGGCCCGGCGTGGCTCGTGCTCCAGCTCCTCGTATGAATATTGCCTGGTGAAGGGAGGAGAGTCCGGAGGGCCGCCTGGCAAGCCCAGTACTTCACGGGGAGCTCCATCGCTTTGCTGGGAAGAAGTTCGTCCAACGAGAGGTCTATGTAGACCCCCTGCAGGGGATGCTTCCGTACCGACTCCGTTCTGAAGACAGTCGGGTCATGGCATCGGAAAAAAATATAGCAATCCAAAAATGACACGTTGCAAAGGACGAAAACATCTTAAACGGTAAAACAGAACTCAAAACATGACAAGCAATATCAAGTGCTGAGCAATCAATCAACCACATTAGAAAAATTATAAACAAATGGTGATGTAGCATGCACTAGGTAAAACAGGGAGGCAACAAACCAAATATTTCAACAGGTTGTGGGACTTAATACAGTGACAAATAAGATCTCTTACCTGTACTGAAGACAGTTTAATTAACCTTAAATACCAATAATTGCAAATAGATGTAGTTCCTAAGGATATCATCGTATTTGACTGAGATAAATACGGTAACCTACCATACTCGTTCATACAATTAGTTCATCAACTTAGTATGAAGTAGGAAAAATTTAGGACGATAATTCTAGGGGCCGAGAATGCATGTCAAAAGACACTCGAATAGAGTACGAGTTCATTAAATTTAAAAAGAAATTGTTCTATTCGTAGTGAAGTTGAAGAGATAAAATAATACCTTTTGAGGAGGACTAGAGGCCTGAGGGCTCTTGAGACGCGGCTCGCCCATGGGCAGCACGGCTACGCCTCCGACAGGACGCTGGATCAAACAAGCAAGTAAGTCAGACAGAAAAAATTACAAGTAGCCAAAAAGAAAACGCTACGAGTTTCTCGTTCAATGTGGAGAAAAAATAAAAGCTAAACGACAGATGCATTTTTTGTATAGTGAATATCAATTAGGGGAATGTTTATAAAATAATGAGCTATTGAAGTTTTAAAAAATATGTGTATCTACGGCAACGCTGAACTTCTCGAGAGTGAAAGAGCGCGTTCTATATTTTTCGCGCGTTTAGATCAGACTGGCTCCTTTCAATCTAAGGGTACGCACACGGTGAAAGCAGGTTTGCCCGCGCGGGCAACCTGCTCCAACCTGCCACAAGAATGAACATAGGATAATAATGTAAGTGTTCACAGTGAAAACCTGTACGAATAGGCTTCTGTATGCTATGGTTTCAACCTGCCACAAGAATGAACATAGGATAATAATGTAAGTGTTCACAGTGAAAACTTGAACGAATAGGCTTCTGTATTCTATGGTTACCTGCCTGAGCAGGTAACCATAGGTTACCATTCCGGCTGGGTAACCATTCCGGCTGGTTACCTGCCTGAGCAGGTAACCAGCACGCTGGCAACCTGCTTTCACTGTGTGCGTACCCTAACGTCTGAGGTCAGGATTCTCTTGTTATAAGCTCAGGAATCAAAATGAAAAAGTGACTTGCGTCGATTAAGCGGTATAAACTTACTGACCAAAATACACATCAAATACTCGATCAAAAGAGAACGCAGACATACGACAATGGTGAGCTGGATTGAATAATGATAAATAAAAAACCTTACAAATTCTTCAGCACACTCACCTCCACTCACACGACTTCATCATGTCTACAGAAACTAGCTATGAGGTATGCAAACCATCTGACCTAAACCAGTGTTTTCTTCAACTTTTCCTTCTCAAGAACAAGTTGCATTTTGATGCGTATCACCAGGTACAATCACGTAGTACTAATAATATAAATTAGCCACTTATAGCGGCAATTATTCAATTTGATGTTGTAAAAGTTAGCACATTAAGTGAGCGAAATGTTTAAAATTAGACAGGAGCCACAGGGAGCAGGGGGATTTGAAGCGTAGGCAACAGTTGCGCATCGTAGCCAGCTTGTGCTAAGCAGTAAACATTGTTGTGACGTAAACCAATATCAAACTTAAAACTGTTCTTATCTAGAAACCAAAAGTGTTCGCGTACAACTGTTCAAGAATCGAAGCCCTAAAATAAATAAAGCAGTCGTAATCTCAGAACAATCATCAACTCGCAGCAAAGTTCTGTAAATGGGATATAGACAGGCAATCAAAATTAAACCTACGTTAATTTTGATACGAGTGTTTGAGAGAATTGTAATGAATTGATATTGGCAGAACTCCGTCAGCATCAATTTATTGCACAACTTTTAGCTTGGAAGTATGTGAGTGACTAGGCGTCAAATGTAACATTGAACAGCAGCCTCTTACCTACTGTGTACAGTGTCAAAGAGTGAAAATGTAATTGTTTAATCCACAAGATATAAAAAAGAAACTCATGAAAAATTACATGCACCCTCTTCTTGACTGAATTTGATTGCAAATATCTTGAAGAAAATCACTCTAGAAGTAAGAACAAAACACCAAGCGAGATGCGGGAAATAACGGTGGGAAAAAAGAACATGTATACGACGTGCAAGCTAATCAAGAAATTGGTAAGGTAATTAATTGATAGTATAAACAAATGAAAATATGCGCATCCAGGAATAGTCACTGTACAATTTTACATAAAGAAGAAATATTATAAAGACTACACTAGCAGAAATGCGGTAGATAAAGCAAAAAAAAGCAGTTGTAAATTTTAAAGAAAATACATGGACAGTTTCGCACGAATATATTCATTGAAAGCAGTTTCATAGCACGACAGCTGTTATTACAAATTATCTGTTGCCACTTGTGTATTCTTTTGTTACGGAGAAAACTTGAGTAGCTCGTGAACTTGAACGCTTCTCGAGATTTAACTCAGTACATTCCGATGTCGAATGGGCAAAATTCAGTTAGAAAGGAAGACTAAATAAATTAATAAATTTTCAAGTGCAAGCGCTCAATGTAAACTTCAAAAATCTACCTTAACATAACAGAACGAGCCCCAAATTTTTCAAACACTCTCATGAAGTCGTCTGCAAGGACTGATATCGACCACTTGAAACGGACTAACTGAATTGAATTTCCATTTGAAAGAGATTATGAGAAGAAAAACAATTACGGAAAAAAACAGTGGAAAGAAATGAAAGAGACCTCAATCTTCAGTGGCAAAAGCTTAGGTATATAAAAAAAACATTTAAACGATGCAAGGAAGAAAATTTCAGAAGAAACAAATCAATAAGATTTAATCAATTATAGGAAAACTCCGCGAGTATTTGACATTGACATTCCGAAGAGGGTTTTTAGCCACAGAATCATCAAAGCATAAGCCATTTAAACAACCTCGTGACATGCTTGTGCAGCAGCAGATATTCCAAATGAAATCTCGAGTTAACAATCATAAGTGATAAGGGTGCCACATACATAAGTACTATGGGTGCCACAATAAGTACTATGGGTGCCACATAAGTGCTATTGGTGCCACAGTTACCTTGTTAGTAGGCAATTTAGGGGCATCAAAAGATCCTTCCTGAGAGCTGGCGGAGCTGGCGCTAGAGGCGCCGCTGTCGCGCCGCTTACTGCCGCTGCGCTGCTGCACAACACGTGTTAGTCACCCAAGCCCGGACTCGTGCAACGCGCACTTACATAAGTGCATGGGTCGTATTGTCCAAGTAGTGACACACTTTCTCCCATGCCATTTTGACGGGCCAAAATAAGCTAGGATTACCCAAGCAAGGGCAGAAAATGCATCGCTATTTGGACAAAATCTCTCTCATTTTTTCTGAATGCGATGCCTCAGTAACACACCGACGCACGTCTATACACGCACCCCTCAAAACAGATCTCATCGATATACATAGAAAAATTAAAAGAACGCCATTTAGATTATGAAGAACGCTCAATATACTTAAAAATCCCTTACTTGAATCTGAGTGGATACTCAACAACCTGATATCAGTTATTATGAACGTAAACAATTCATACTCGGCGCTTGTAGCGCTTCCTTTCTGAATCTATATTGTTCGTGACTAGATTGTAGAAGGATTCTCTTTACGTACTTAAAGCAAAACTGTGCCTACTATTAGAAGTATCTTCTTGCGGACATTTTTCACATAAAACGTGGAAGCACGTAACTCTTTTCTATTATTTTTTTTCGGGCACATCGATTCAGTTCTAAATCATCTTGGTCACATCGGCGAGGTTACTAAGGCATCAAATGATGTTAGTATACAAGAAAGAAATCCCCCATTGTTCATGCAGACATGTACTTTCCAGTGAATGTTTCAACAATTAGAAGAAGATACTGTAAGTTGACACCGCAACTCGAGAGCTGATACTCAGAAGAAAGTTTTCCCTGTTATTGTACTGTTATCAAGAAGTGTCGAGGAAAGTCACTCACCAATTTCATGCCATGCGGGGCCTCCAAGTTAGTAAGCCAATATACAAGCTTCTAGTCACCATCGAGACACTGGCAACCTTGTCAGTTTAACTGTTTTTTTAACATAATCCTTATAACATAACAGCCTTATATTTTCAATCTCAACGTCATACAAATCAGATGAATCTCATGTATAAACTTAGCATGATGAAAGTTCACGCCATTTTCTAGATCACGTATATACATTCTTGAGATTCAAAAGAATCTCCCAGCACGTTTCATTTGTAGTTTTTGGTAGTTATTCACATCAACGGATCCGATGCAGTTGCTGTTAGTACGTTAAGTTGAGACGACTTTTTTATGACAATCAAATCGACACATTCAATACATAAAGTCAAACTTACGATTCTTCTTAAGAAATAACAACCTTCAAACTTACGTAGGTAATCAATAATCAAGAATATCATCTAATTATAATTTGGTTTTCCAAATAATAAAAAGAATGTCAGAGACTGTGAATAAAAATTGCGCAAACTAACGTTTCATATTTCTTTCTAGTAAATTTTTCCGACCGAGCTCGGCTGGAATACCAAACTCGACCTAAGCTCTCATGTTAGGTTACCATTCAACAGGCTATCTTTACAGCCTAGAAACACATGAACATCAAGAATATTATGCTCGAGGCAATGAGAACTGAGAACCACGATTATTCTGTACGAGACACCAAGAACTCCACCACCGAGCTCCAAATAGAAGTAGAAATGAATTCATTGCGATGAACTGTTTCAACCCGCTGGACGAAAGTCGCTACGAGGATAATTTGTAAAGTAATATACAGTGAACTAACTAAGTTAGCGAGGAAGCCGCTACTAACTATGGCTAATATCACACTAACTATGGCAGTTAAAACCACTCAACAGCTACACGCGCAATTTTGCAAGTACAGGTAAGCGCACATAAACACACCACTCTCACTGCTGGCCATGCTAAATTGCTAACTTGGAAACAATGCATGCGAAAATCCTGAAAAAATATCTCTAACATAAAAACCCATCTAATCTAAAAACCTATTCTATCGAAAACCCCAAAAAGAAAGACGAACTTATGAACAAAATGAGGGCTGTCTTGTGAGTTTCAATGAAACAATTTGACTGAGTTTCAATGAAACAATTTTTGAACTTTCTCGTACGTAGTCAGTTCTTGGATTTCATGTATCAATATAAAAAACGACGCCTCACAATTTATAAAGACTCGAGAAAACCGCAATGAATTACAAGCTGATCAGCGTGTGCAATTCCACCGTCGTGAGCTGAGATGAGAGGGAGCTTGTCGCACGGGACCTGCCTATCATCTGGGATGTTGCGTGCATGTTTGACGCAGCAATGCGTCTCTGAATAATAGTCTCTCGGTAATATTAATACTCTCGGTACTAATATAATAACTATGTCATATGTCATTAGCCGTATAATAATTATGTCATATGCTATGTCGGTATGCATTAGCCGTACCGAGAATAATATAATATTCTCGGTACAAAATTTTTTAAAATTCACGTCAAAGAATGACAATCTTCAGTATTGATCTTATATGCAGACATATTCCTCTCACAATCAATAAATACATCACACACATAATTGTTTACGATTGTACCACACCTAACCCACACTAGTCTACCACACCTCACCCACAGTCGGTTACCACACCTCAAACACACAACCGACCACCGAAACACACAACCGACCACCACATTCAACCTACAATGGTCTACCACAAGCGCCACAGACCTTGTCCTTCTTGAGAGGAGACGTGGTGGTGGGGGCCGCGCTGAGGTCCGCGGGCTCGTCAGGCACAGTATCGTAGGGGTGTGTGGGGCTGCGGCCGTTGCCCTCCAGCCCCGGGATGTGCTCGGGAGGGTGGCTCATCGTGTGACGCTTCGATACCTCAGGGCTCTCACCCGCCTCACCGAGCGCTGAGTGTTCAATATTAATTATTATTCAATATTATTTTTTATTATATTAATTCATAAATATACTAATAATGTTATGGATTATTAATAATTACATTAATTTATATTAATTTATATTAATATCACTGCACAGTGATATTATTTTTCAATGTGGTCACTAGGTAGTGCAAAAATGGGCACTAAATATAAATCAATCTACGTGACGGTTACTGATAATTGAGATACATGGAAATTTCCTCTAACTGGTGAGAAAATGCCCTATTATTTTATAGATGTCGTTTACACCCTGAATATCTATAAAATTTATAACGACATCGTTTACACCAAATTGTAAAAGACATCCTTTACACTAACGATGTCGTTTACACCCTGAAAGAAACTATGAAACTTGAACGGTGGTAACAAGTGTGTTCACTAATTCCATTCTAGACATCAATGACATAAATGAAAACTCGTTATGTTTGATCCAATCATGGAATAACCATGAATAGTAGATGCTGACATTATTTGCATTAAATCAAAGGTGAATAATGTATTTTAAAAAAAATATTCTAGAGTTGTAAACAACTTCAAAGTTAGTCTAATCAATAACGCTGTAATGAACAGAAGTTGTTCAGTCGACAATCAATGAAAACTAAACGAATAAATTAATACATAAAAAGAGCAACCAAACGTATTCAACCCTGACGCTCACAATTGTTGCTGGAGCATCAACAAGCTCAGTGTCTGAGGCCAAGATAAGGAAGTAAGGACAATATTCAACCTAATGAACGCAAATCAATTTAGTTGAATATGAATATGACATCAAAAATGGCCCAAAATGAGGAATTTGAGGAATCAAGCTCAAGTAATTACACGAAATTACAAACAAACAAAAAACTGGTATCCTCAAGCGTGTCGTGACAGGTTGGGACGGTTGGTTACTGTTCCGGTATTTTATAAACGTCACATTAGCATTCACGTCTTAACCTGTTCTATGATTACCCCAACTGCTACATTCTTGATAGAGGTGACCACACTGAGCTGAATGTATAAACAGTATTTTTAGAGTGTAAAGTATGTAACAAACACAAGAATTTCACAAGTGAATCAAAACGTTAGGAGCTCGAAAGTTAGACACCATATGAGAAGCAATAAGACCGAAGATTTACAAACTGATTTCCAAACGATAAAATACCATCTAAACAGTAAGAAAGTTGAAATATTAGCTTCAAGCCAACTTTTAATAATTATAATACAAAAGTATCTGAAGAAACGGTAATAATTTCAAAAATTAAGATCTTCAATGTAGCAGGCTTTTCAGTTTTCGACAGGTGAATAAAAACAAGATTATTTTACGCACAAAGTAGAGCTCAACTCCAATACAAAGACGATGAATAGCACGCTCTGCAAAGGCAAAACTACCAGCAGAAGGCAATTTGTCGGCGATAATTGTTACTTAAAAATTATTAAATCAAACGAGTATGCCGAGCTTAAATTGTTGATAGGATACGCCACATTCAAGTGCTTCATGTTGTGAGCATAATATGCAAGGTGATTTACAATGCTTCAATAAATATAATAGGAAATAAACAAAAAATAATAAGGTTTTATAAAAGCAATGAGCTTGCTGCAGCTCATCTTAGAGTTACCACTGAAAGAGAGAAGAAGTACAAGCAAAAATGACAACAAAAATATGATCAGCTGACGTGACGCAACAACTCCACACTTGATAAGAAATCACTTGTTAACACATCCCTGATCAATCAACTAGTATCATAGGTGCCAACATCAATATTATTACTGACAATAAAAACATTTAAAAGAAGTAGGTAAGAGCGAGTATCTGCCCAGCACAGGATAATATATTTATACGAGCACGCCAGGCGAGTTCTGCAGAGCATAAGAAAAAAAACTAATATTTTTTCTTATTTACAAGCTCTGCCAACTGAGATTTGCAGTCCATGAAATTTTAAAGAGTTTCCCGAAACTCCATATTTTACCAAATCAAAATTAGAATTTCCAAGCAATTGAACAAACCGCAATGAATTACCTATCAGCGGAGCCAATGAGTTACTTAGTAGATTGTCACGAAGGAAAAAAGTTTAATAGAGGGACATCACAATCACTGGCAGCAATTATCTCCGCTACATAAAAATCACTCAAATAATCAGTAGCAGAAAGAGAGTTAAAAGCACGACATTGACGATAATCACGAGAGTGTCAGCACTCAGCGCTGTCTATGGTCCCATTGATGTCAGCAGACGAATAATCAGCAGGATAATCAGTAGCAGACAGAGGTTAAAAACACGACAATAACAATAACGGCTTGAGTGTCAGCACCGTCTATTATCTCATCGATGTCAGCAACGTCAGCAGCCCTCACAGGTCCCTCCCATTCGAGGTCCCTCAGAGGTGCTCCCCACACAGAATCCTTTACAGGTGCCCCCCATACAGGGTCCCTCGCAGGCGCCCCCCATACAGGGTCCCTCCACACAAGGCCCATGGAAGGAGATTCCTTCACGGAGCTGAAGCTCGGGAAGTCGTCTATGTACGCTATCGCTGTACATGTTTTGTTGTGAGTTATGAAGCAATCCAGCAATACCAAACCTGTTATCTATGGCTCACAGTTGATAATTCAATAGTTCATTCTCTTCAATACCTAAGGGAATACTTGCAGTGGTCAATTTAGTATTTATTATATGGGAACCTATTACAGTAGGGACTATTTACAGTACTAGCACAATTCAAGGGATTATTTACAGTACTAGTAAAATTTAAGAGACTATTTACAGTACCAGTACAATTCAAGGAATTATTTACAGTACCAGTACAATTTAGGGACTATTTACAGTAGTAGTACTATTCACGGGACTATGTACAGTGCTAACAAAAATAACGCACCATCCATGCTGCGAGAGGACAGCTTCCTGCCGCTGAGGGTGCGGGTGAAGGCAGGGTTGTGGCGCGTGGCGAGGCTCGCTGCCATGCGGCTCTGGTACTGAGTGCGGCCGCTGTAGCGGAACTTGCTGCCCAGACGTGGCAGTAGGCCTGTCTTGGCCGGCACCTCAGGAGTCATCAGTCTGCGCAGGATACGGGGATATGAGATAATAGGCAAGATAATATTATTTATATTATGCCTGCAACGCAAAAAGGGACGTGTCATTCTGAGCAGGATAACAAGATTATATTATGTGATTATAATAAAAGCAAAGCCGGCAAAGCCGGCAATACCGGAGTAATCCGTCAGCAGACATCTCAATTAGCGCATTATTCACAGTACCTATTAATATTATGTCAATCAAGCGTGCCGAGTCACAAAAAAGCTAGCCAACTCAAGAGGAAGAACTCTGCATACCTGAAGAATGTGTGATGTTCCACACAAGTTTTCCACAGCCTTTTAGCAGCCTTGTGGTTGGCGAGCTTGAAGCCAATGGTAGACTCGTATCTCTCGAATTCCCCTGGCCTGATCTTGATATAGAAGTTGTTCCTCTTGTACGACAGCTTCAGAATTTTTGGCCATGCAAATCTGTTGATTCGTAATCTGAAGGAACAAAAATGATATGAGAAAAGTAATCAGATCATAAATACTGATCAGTCAGTTATTGGTCCAGCATACCGTACAGTTGGCTCACATGTGCCAAACTTCAGCTCTTTGAAGAGAAGGAAAAGTACTTTTTGCATCACCACTACAAATTTCATCCATAGCGACTGGCAAGCAGCACTAGAATGCTATGGCAGAGCATGACTAGAAGGTCCATGGATTTAATCCATAAATGCATTGCCTAAATGAACTATGTATGCAATGCATCAATAATGCATACACAAAATCGTGAAACGCCACAAGCCCCTGGGAAATGTTGTTGACACAAAAAAAAAAACGTTTTAATAGTTGACACAAAAGAAACGTGTACCGAACCCTGAGGCACTGTCCTACAACAAAGAGAGACTCGCAACTGACAAAACCATCGGTGTCAGTGACGATTAGCTTCTATTAAAAGGAAAGAAATAAGTAAGTTTCACTCTACTTTATTGGAAGGCATACCTGTCCCTGTAAACGAGCAGCCCTGAGGCGCACACGCCCAGCATGATGTCGACACCCTCGTTGTCCTGCGCAGGGTGGAGAGACACGCCGTACATCGCCAGCTTCTTGGCGTTCTCGAGGTACAGGAGCTCAGCCTCTGCAGGGGTTTGTCCTCTGCACGGCCGTATAAGACGATAGACAAAGATACGTTAATTCTGTATAACTACGCAATGTTTTGCAAAGGAACTTAGCTGGTTATGCTATACTGAAGATAACGATATTAACCTTGATTATGAAAGAAGTAAAAGCAAAATCAAGTGATCAAAAGGGATTACCTGTATTCTGCAAATGATCCTTGCTCTCCAGTCAAAGACAATCATGAAGTTTAAAGTTACAAAATTGCCTTATTGGTTAGTACTTTTGAAATTAACTGCACAAACTACAAGACAGTATGACAGCAAAGTAAGAGCTAATCTTCTTCATACAAGTCTCATAAGTTGTATTGGAATCCATTGTTGCGTAAACTAAAATGCAAGAAGAGAAGCTTGAATTGCAATGCCAGCATTAATTATCCACTAATGGGAACTAAGTTTATACGATATTGGAAAGATACTAATCCAAATAATATCAGAAAGAGAAATCATTCTTTGATGAATCTCTCTATGATTCTCTGTACAAATAAGAGGTGCAGGCTCCCACCTGTGAGTCTTGTGAAGCTCCATGACTTTCTCAGGCAGCTCAGGGCTCTGGTCAGGAGCGAAGACGAAGCTGTCCAGGTAATGAGGGCTCGTGTGCTCACGGGAGTCAAAGTCTCCCACCTCAGACTGGACGAGGTAGGAGCCCAGCAGAGCATGGGTCACAAAAGAGCAGGGCAGCTTACCTGACAGTATGTCTTGACGCACCTGAAATAATTCAAGTTCATTAATGTGGTTCAGTGAAACTTAACAAATGGCTAGAATTACCTTTTTTGCACAAAGTAGGTATGAATTAGGTACATAATAGTTTAAAAATAAATTCAATTTGGAGGCTTTGTTCACCATACATTTAGCCCAATAATAAAAAAAAAATTTCAAACTACAACACTTTCAGCATTAATAAAGATATAATGAACACTTGTATGTAAATGTAGCGAAAAAAACATCTATATGTTTTTCTGTCTGTTCCAAGCTTAAACAAAGCAAGCATGAACAGTAAAAGCTGAAGACTTATTCAGAGAAGAGAAGGATTTTAGCAATTCATCATCAATGAAAAGTACGAGAAAAAAGTTATATACGGTACCTATCCAACAGGAATATTAAACATACATGTAATAATATGCGTTAAAAAATTACTTTTTAAAGACAACACTTCCAAAGAATCCAGTGTCTCCAATCTTACAGATGTACAATGAATTTTTCATTTAATTTTCGAATTAAAAAAATTTGTTTTTCAATTTTTTTAATATATAAATTTTATATATATATAATTTTTCTCAAAATTAATTATTCTATTAATTGATTCATGCATTGCCTCTGACTTCACACAAGTGTGCAAAATTTCAGATCAATTAGACAGGTAAAAGTGTGTCAAAAATCAGTTATAAGATTTGTAGCTGACAAAACTATTTCTTCAATTTTTTTAATATTGAAAAAAAAATTTTTTCAATTTTTAAAATCATTTATTTTGACATTTGATTCATGCATTGTCTCCAACTTTACACAAGTGTGCAAAATTTCAGATCGATAGGATAAGTAGAAGTGTATTAAATTTTGATTACAAGATTTGTAGCAGACAGACAAACAAACAGACAAGAAGTGAAGTTAAAGAGAAGTGTTGTAAAAAAATTAGGAGGACTCTAGCTGGAAAAAAAATTTAGCACGGAATCAAAATCCAAATGGAAAGTTTAGTGACATATTCACTGTGAGCTAATATAACTAAAGACTGCAGTTTTACAAAAGACCAGCTTAGTAATACGTTCATTGTGAGCTAATTCACCAGAAGACTCTGCTTACCTGCAGGCAGAGCTGATAGCGAGTGATGTCCTCAGCCAACTGAGATGGATCAGGCGGGTAAAACTTGACGTGGAAACTCAACTTCCAAGGACCTTTCAATTGGCTCGACACCTGCAAGAAGTGAGAAAATTAAGACTTCTGCATATTTGCATGACTGACATTTCAGTTCCTTGACCAAAAATTGGACGTGGGTTCTTTTCACCTGGAGCTTACCACAGACTACAGTGAATGGCTAGTCTATTGCTTCAAATATTCCAATTATGCCATCAACTGGGGCTCCTAAGGAGCCACCACTCTAGATAACACAAAACAAGTGGCACTAAATTCATCCAATATTAGGACTTTGTGTGAGGATTGGTGTAGGTGAGTAAAGAGGAAAATCATGGGGTGGTCTTGGTCAAGTTACTGTTGATATTTAATTTTAACAATTCAATGAGACAGAAAATTTACACAGAACAATGACACATGAATATTCTCACTATGCTTACACTAACCATTGCAACTTTTCTAGTATTTAAATATGCTTTTAAAGACCATTTCCTCACTTTCAACAATTCTAGAACAGATCATTTATTATTTTCTTTCAAAGCTTTCTTAAACAATTCGATTTCATATGAAATACAAAACAAATTATTTTAGCCAAGCACAATTTGCAGTGGATCCTTGCCTTCTTGTCAAGGTTGAGCCAATTAACAGGGCTTTCAGGATCTCTGTGGTCCCTGTAGGTGAGGCCAAAATAGTCTTTCTCCAGCAGGTTGACATGGTCAGCCACCTTCTGGAGGATGTCCATCCCCTTTGCCTTTTTCTGTTGACAATAAACATTTGTTGTAAACAAGTTTGTGAAAAATCAATTTTATTAAATGAGAGGTAAATTAACAGCCCCGAATATATGCATCACTATGAAAGCAAAGCCTAGCAAATAATAACTTAAAGTTTTCAATTATGTTATTTCAAACAAAAAAAATCAAGAACCAATAGTTCGATTACTAAAAATAAAAATCTATCAGATGTTTATAAATAAATAAGGCAACTCATTTTGCATATTGAAAAACTCAAATAATACAAATTAATTATTATTACCAGTAGTTGTTGAGACTAATTACTGAGAATAAAAACATATCAATATCAGAGATATGTCAGAATAGAAAATGTGTGGTGCTTCAAATAGCAAATTTAACAAAACCAATTTTAAACCGGCCATAGAATATGGAAATTAGCAAATTTTAGTCCCTCTTCTTCAATCTATTTAAATTCTTTCATAGCACATATTAACATACCAAACCGTAAAACTCACATCAATAACAAGCTCCAGTAGAGAGCTGTCAAGGAGAAGCACTTGGCATGCAATCATCTTGCCAGGTTTCTTCTTGCTGGGACTGCTGCCTCCTCTGGCAGCTTCTCCATTAGCATCTGTGACTATTGCCTCAGGCATGATGCATCAAGCAAGTAGGCTGCTATAATGGCAAGGCCTTTTTGATCACTTTTAAGCAGAATCCAATGACACCCACCAATATAACTCAGGAGTCACTGATAAAAAGCATTGTCACACTACTAAAAAAGAAAATACAAAATTAAATTATATTATCTGAGAAATCATGTTTGAAAATAATTTATGTAGGCAGGAAAAAAACACTTAAAATCTGTTCTAGATTCAATCAAGTTTAATTCATAATAAGCCTGGCTAGGAATTTTCCGCCTTAGGAATGAAATCTTACCCATCCAAAGTAACCAATTTTTCATTCATTTGGAATATTGCAGCCTGACTGTACAGTTTTATTAACAAATAGATAAGAGATACCGGTAGGTAACATGTCTTGAAGCCATTTTGCAACACCAAAAAAAGGCAGGAAAGAGGTGGTATAAAAAGGAAAAAGAGGCAGCGGTCCATCATGGGCAGGGACTGCTACGTCCAAAACAAATACTTAGGATACTAAGGAAAGCTGTAGTCATGGCTGGAATGGTAGATACCGTAAAATGGGGTTACTTTGACCGGCGGGGTAACTTTGACCACTTTTCGTTTTTTTAACAAAACCCCCCAAAACTCAAAAACGATTTGACATAGAAAAATTTTGTCAATGGCCATCAAAGGCCTAATACTAAGGCTACGTAACACAATAAAAAGATTTAAAAAGTTTGCATATCTAATAGGTTAAAAAATTAATAATGTGACCCACTAAAAAGAGCTATTATTTAAAGCCTGTCAGAGTACCCCCTCCAATTTTTTTATTTTTTGGTAAAATAACTCCAGGTTTTGATGCATTGTAGTAGAACTCTTCTAGTTACATATGCAAAAGACAAATTTTAGGAAAGTGTCATAGTTTGCAAATGAGGGGCGCCGCCCTCCAATGGGGGAACTTTGACCACCTAATGGCAGCTGTGATGGGGTAACATTGACCAGCTTGGAAATTAAGTTAAAATTACCATAGGTACCTATATAACATTTTTTATGTCTGATACACCTATTAATGTTTTTTTCTTTATGTTTCAGACTCTACAGAGTCTTATATATGGTAATTTCAACTTAATTTACAAACCGGTCAATGTTACCCTGTCACGGCTGCCATTAGGTGGTCACATTTCGCCCATTGGGGGGCAGCGCCCCCCATTTGCAAACTATGACACTTTCCTAAAATTTGTCTTTTGCATATGTAACTAGAAGAGTTCTACTACAATGCACCACAACCTGGAGTTATTTGGAGTTATTTTACCAAAAAATAAAATTGATTTTACCACCCAGTCAAAGAAACCCCAAGAGCTGGGGTAACAAAGACCATCACTTTTTTTGAAATTACATCAAAACTATGAGAGGCAGGAGCCAACAATTTATGGTGAGTAAAGCTAGAGTATAGACCTGTATTTTGCATGTTTCAATTTAAGTTTAACTTATCTAGTAAAATAATTGCATCATTTTGAAAAAAAAAGTGGTCAATGTTACCCCATTTTACGGTATATTCCATGTCCATTGTAAAATTCTTAATCTTGCCCCCACCATGAAACACTCAGTTTTATCTATGATTTTAAGAAACTTCTGCTTGATATTCCAAATGGCAGTGTCAAAGCATAAACTCTATAGACTCTTCTAGTCATCTTGAAGTTCATTTTTGAGTCTTATAAGTAGACCACTAAGACCAGTAAAGTATCATGGATCCCAGTATTATCATGCATACCAGGGTGCAGCATTTGGTGAATGAATCACTAATTTTTGCATTTGTAGACCAAAAACATTGCCAACAAGCCTGACATAATTAAGGGTGACATTACCCTAGAAGCATTGCCAGCAGTCTTCAAGATGCGTTGCCAGCAGTCTTCATGATGCGTAACATGCATTGCAAACAATTTTCTTCAAATTTCTTACAAACCAACTTTCATGAGTGTATCTTATAATCTTCAACACCCTATGAATGAAGTAGACAATTACATTGCAACTGAAATTACCAAATTGTGGATTGTGCTCTGCAGCCTCTTCCAGCCAACTGGAAACCAGAAATTTCAAAAACAATGGAGCCACAGGTGTACTCACTGTACTTCCTTTATAGCATCTAAGCAGAGACTGTCAGACTCTTCCTCAAGTTCAATTTCAAGTCCTAAAAGTTGACCAACAAAGTAACATGGATACCACATACCAGCATTATCATTCATAAGATATTGGTTCAAATCTTGAGTAAATGAGGAAATTAGAAATGGAATGATTCTAAAAAATGATGCGCCTCATTTTTTTGCAGCTAGCAATAGCATCGACAAAGAGTTACGAATATCTAAAATGCAATAATTACAATTCATTTGTTGATAAGATCTTCTAAAGGCATAAATTTTGCCGTTGATGCATCAGCAAAGATCTTCAGATATTCACCCACACCCACTTTCTGCACCATGGCATGATACACAAGAAATTTTTTTACATCTTGAGAGTTGAGACTTGTCACTTGAGTAGATGAGAAAATTAAAAATGAACTGATTCTAATAAATCTGTGGTTTTTCACTTTGCTAAATAAATAAACTAGTTATGTCATAGCAAGAACTTATTTTATTACAGTCATAAATATTTTTTACTCAATACAATTTTTGCCCCATCTATGGAATTGCTTAGGTATTTAGTTATTGCTACCGTAAAATGGGGTAACTTTGACCACTTTTTTATTTCAAAACAATGCCATTTTTTTACTAGATAAGTTAAACTTAAATTGAAACATGCAAAATACAGGTCTATACTCTAGCTTTACTCACCATAAATTGCTGGCTCCTGCCTCTCATAGTTTTGATGTAATTCAAAAAAAAAGTGATGGTCTTTGTTACCCCAGCTCTTGGGGTTTCTTTAACCGGGTGTTAAAATCAATTTTATTTTTTGGTAAAATAACTCCAGGTTGTGGTGCATTGTAGTAGAACTCTTCTAGTTACATATGCAAACAAAAAAGATTTTAGGAAAGTGTCATAGTTTGCAAATGGGGGGCGCCACCCCCCAATGGGCAAAATGTGACCACCTAATGGCAGCCATGGCGGGGTAACATTGACCGGTTTGGAAATTAAAGTAAAATTACCATATATAAGACTCTGTAGAGTCTGAAACATAAAGAAAAAAACATTAATAGGTCTATCAAACATAAAATATGTAATATAAGTACCTATGGTAATTTAAACTTAATTTCCAAGCCGGTCAATGTTACCCCGTCACGGCTGCCATCACGTGGTCAAAGTTCCCCCATTGGGGGGTGGCGCCCCCCATTTGCAAACTATGACACTTTCCTAAAATTTGTCTTTTGCATATGTAACTAGAAGAGTTCTACTACAATGCATCAAAACCTGGAGTTATTTTACCAAAAAAATAAAAAAATTGGAGGGGTTACTCCAACAGGCTTTAAATAATAGCTCTTTTTCATGGGTTACATTATTAATTTTTTAACCTATTAGATATGCAAACTTTTTAAATCTTTCTATTGTGTTACATAGCCTCAGTATTAGGCCTTTGGCCATTGACAAAATTTTTCTATGTCAAATCATTTTTGAGTTTTGGGGGGTTTTGTTAAAAAAACGAAAAGTGGTCAAAGTTACCCCGCCGGTCAAAGTAACCCCATTTTATGGTACCTACATCAACTCAACATACCTAACAACATTGATGTTGAAGCCAAATATCAATTAACCAACAAGCCTCTCTTTAATTGTCTTGATTGTAAAAAATCTTGTTTAAAATAGCAGAGAAACTGTCAAAATAGTGCGAGAAAAAGTGTTTCTACTACTAGTCCATGGTCAGGAAGATGTGCCAGGTGCGCGGGAATTTATTTTGTCATTTTAACGACCTGCGCGGTGCGCCATACTATGCTGGTAAAAAATGTGCCGTGCGCCGTACTTTAGAAAGCTAAAATAGTTCTACTATTTTAGTCGACAATATAAATCTTTCTATTGTGTTATGTAGCCTCAGTATTAGGCCTTTAATGCCCATTGACAAAATTTTTCTATGTCAAATAGTTTTTGAGTTGTGGGGGTTTTTGTTAAAAAAACGAAAAGTGGTCTAAGTTACCCCGCCGGTCTAAGTTACCCCATTTTACGGTATTACGTCTGTTCCTCCACAAACTGCTCGTGCCTGGCAGCGCAATGTAGAATTGATGGCCGGGATTGCGCGAACACGTGCGCAAAGAGAATCAATTTTCATTACATTGCGCCAACTGTGTACAGCAATAGCTTAAAAAAAGTGAAAATGCGCGGGAAAATTCACCTAAAACATACATCATCCTGAGCGTGGCCGTGGCTACTAGTACATTTAATTTTAAATATGCTTTCAAGATTTCAAAGACCATTTCCTCTCTTTCAATAATTCTAGAACAGATCATTAACATAATAATAAGTGCCATCACTAATGTCGCACTGTAAGTGTATATAGGACCATGGCCTAATTTTTCTTAAAAAATTTGACCAACCCAAAAACAGGGAGTGTCAAGACAGTCCAGTCAAGCTGTTGGCTCTGTAGAGTGTAGTTGCATGATCTCCTTCACTTCTTGACACGATAAAAAATGACATTGAATTTACACAGTAAAAAAATACACACAGCAGTTATTTATGCGTTTCGATCCAAAGCAATTTTAACATATCATTAGAAATTTGTCATTACCAAAATTTTATTGGCAAAGCAGAGAGTTTTTTAGACTCTTCCTCAAGTTCATTTTTGAGTCCTATAAGTAGACCAGTAAAGTATCTTGGATACCAGAATTTTCATACATAAGAAATCTGTTAAAATCTGGAGTAAATTAGGAAATTAAAAATGAGCTGATTCTAAAAAATCACTGGTTTGCCACTATGCCATCCATAGCTGAAGATTTGATTTTGATTGCAATAGGCTCCTATTTGACAGATGTACATTCGGTTTAGTATTACACTGTCACAACATATTACGATTCGATATCACATCGTCGTATTTGCACAGTGATATTGAATTATGATGAATGGAAAATTTGTTTAACATGAATCAAAAATTTATATAGCATACCACAGGTACAGATAAACTACAGTTTCATTTCAAAGTACACCAGCCCCGCAATAGGGATGATTTCACTAATACGACGACACAACCCTCCGCCCCACACGAGCAACAACAAACATATCAGCGAATGTATTCTTCCGCGGTCTTGACGAGTTAATGAATAACGTGATCAAAATTATTCGATGTTAGAAACAGCATAAAACTTGAAAATTGTCGATTAACGTATTATCATAATGAAATGAATATGATAGTTTATTTATTCAGAACCTACCGGGTGGCATCGCTATTTTCATCGACCTATATTGGATTTTGTTTGAAAAGTCATCAATTATATTTTAAATATTTTTAACAACGAAATTCCCCCCTCTAAATGATAATTAAATGAATTTCGTGAAAATCTCATGCGACGGGCGTTTTATTCTTTTGCGTAGGAGTTTGGAATGTAGGCATTCTACGGCAGGGAGGGGCAAGACGGTTTGAATTATTCTGAATGGTGAGGCTACGAAAGAATGAGTGAATCATATGAGTCTACCATGAGCTTTCGCCCTCTTCAAAAAAAAAACATCGAAAAGTCCTGAATTCAACTACGTTTGAACTAGTGTTTGCCATCATATGAGAAAACGGATATTTTAGTTCGCTGTTGATATTTTCACCACTTTATCTCATTTGAGTACCACAATATAAATGTACGAACGAAAAATACTTTAAAGCTCATGTATGAGCACAGTAAAGCTCTACAGTTTACAATAGAAAATGCTTAAATAACTCTTTCATGGACAGGTGCTCGTGAAAACAAATTCCCTGAAATTTGGTATATATTAGTCAACAGATATTTCTGTATAGGAATAAATCAAAATTTAATTAAAGTGGGAAAAATTCGCTCCAAACAGTTTATATGCTCAATAAAATAATATTTGTGCAAAACGCTCGTCGATTTTTCCTGCACTGTTAAAAAAAACTGTGATGAGCCGAATGGACTCAATTCTGATTGAGGCCGTAATATAATAATAACAATATAGTGGTTACAGCGTTTATTAGGCCATAGGCCTGTCGCCGATTCTTAAACATTGCAGAACATCCACAGCATGTTGCGGGTTTGAACTCGCAATTAACTGCTCCAATTATTTTATTTTATTTTATTTTTTTGCTTTCAACCGCCCGGCCTCCTTGCCGATTCTGACCAGAAACTGACTCACAGAGCCTGAGATCGAACCGGCACCTCTTTCCTCTAATCTCGGTACTCTGAACTTCGCTCAACACTCCTGCCCTGGCAAAAAAATGTGTATACTAACCTACGTATAAATTAAATGTTTAGTAAGTGTCTAATTTGTACGATATGACTACCAATTATTGTTAGGTCTGCTTAAGTGAACCATAATCACAACTGAAAAAAATGCACAACCTGTCGCCAACTGCTCACTGCGAGGAATTTTTACAGCTAGCTGGGTGCGGCGCCCGCAACTCAATGCTTCAATTTAACTATTCTTGTCTGTTTTTCTTGAGCACCACGCCTCCCAAGCGATGTAGAACAGAATTATTCACAGCTATCTGAAGTTCGAAATCGCAATGAACAACTCCATTCTAAGTAATCTTAACTTTTTTATGATACTCCGCCAAGCTTGAATTTTTTTTAATTGGTCTTGGAAACCGACAGCGAAGCGTCACGTCTTTATTTGCTGAAACGATTGTTCGTCCCTGCGAAGCATGTGGTACAAGTTTACAGATTTTAGTGTCAATGGACACGGATGCCTGGATAAAGCGTAGGTAATTCTGACTTTAGCTTATATTTTAATATTAAACATAGCTAGAAAATGTCGCGGCGTCACTTGGTAGGCTTATGTGTGCGCGACGTCTGCCTTTATAAGGACTCTTAGTTTGTGCCAAAAGATTGTTCTACTGTGGTGACCGTCACACCAGTACGGTCTGTCTGCAGCCATCTCCGTACACGTAGGTGACGGAACATACCGGCGGCCGGCGGGGTCAGAAATAACGGCCGTCAGTCATATCACTACGTACGACTCCGTATAACAAAATCATAAATCTACGAGTAACAGCCATAACTTCGCCATAATTGTTCTGTCAAAATTCATTGCCACGATTGTGACTCAGTCTTGAGACAACGTGACAGACAACAAGACGTTCACTGATATTTAGGCTGAGCGAGAATTATATCATTGGTACGGTCATCAGCACAGTGCGGTCACCGTCAGCGTCAGTAGCGGTACGGCACGATCACCAACAGCAAAAGTATGGCAATGAGCTTTGAAAACATCATTGACGATGAAACTACGCCACTATTCAGAAGTACGGTCGCGTTAAATTCTTCTGTCAGACCGGCCGTAAGACATAGAATAGAAGTGTCGGCACTGAAGAAATTGACCCATGGCCTGTTGCCGATTCTTGAATTTTTCGTGACTTGATTCACAAGGGATCCGGCCTTTGGAACCCGATCTTTCCGTAACTAGCTGCTGGACTTATTGTCTGGGGTCCGTAATTTGCTAGGCATCTTAAGACTGAGCATATGCTTCTGCATAGCTTCGTCAAGTCTGTTCTTGAAGGCGTACATCGATCTAAGCGCATGGATTACGACTATGAAGACAAAGCGACTAAAAGAAGACATCGGGGACGCGCGGCTACGGCTGCGGTAAGGCCGCATTCGTGTGCGTGACGTACGATCGTTTCCGACAGGCTTACGACTCAACGGAACTGCAATGGCTCAACGTTTCTGATAACTTGGAAATTTGTGTGATGTTGATAGCTTTTAAACTTCGATTGTGTTCGGATTTTCTTATTCCTGTACTAGAGACTTTTGTTAAGGTAAGATGTGAACTGGAAATTTTGCAATTTAATATGATATGTACCAGTGTTTCATTGCAACCCTCTCTCTCTCTCTCTCTCTGTACGACTCTCAAACTATTCATAGGATGACTTATAAACGCGAATACACAGAGTAAAGCCTAAGACGCTACGGACGCCACCTGACTAAATTAAAGCAATTGACGATCAATAATAAAATTATAACAATGAAACCAAATCTTCAAATCGTTTAAATTTTCAATACCTAATCATGCCGCCACTTAGAAGGCACTATGTTGAATTTGCTCTTAGAAAAAATATCTATAGAGTGCTTAAAACTGTCCAAAAATACATATTTGTACGTGTTGGTAATGAATAATAATAGTAGATCTGTTTATATGTTACAAAAAATCTCCTGTCCTTTTTTTGTAAAAACAAAGTTTTGCCAAAGGCCAAATTTTTACGCATCACTGTAGCGATTTATCATAGAAAATAATTCAAGTTAAAATGACCTTTGCATCAGGGAATAATGAAATTAAATTTCTAGAATATCATTTTTTATTTCTTTTACAGAAAAGCCTGACTCTTCAATAAGGAGGATAATGATTCCAAAAAATTGAAAGAAAAAATTATAACTTAGAACTAACGTTACTCTAATTGTATTAGCTTTTTTACATAATGTCACCTGAGCTATTTAGAAATTAAATACGATTTATTTAACAAAAATTATAAAGAATTGTTCTCGACCACAAAATGACAGATTAAGGTATAAATTTCAACAAAGCACATTGCAGCACCTGAGGTTAACGCTGCAATGCTGATCACATCGATAATAAAATTAAAAACCACACCACTTTGGCAATGAAATGATTATCTCATCAAGGGACTGTGTTTAAAACAGAACTTCCTTAGTTTGTATGAAACCTAATACACAGCCAATCCTAAAACGCCAATCTTGCTAGTCTTGGTCACCCGGCCGCTTTGCAGATTCAACGAGATTTTTACAGTTAGCTGCGAATACAGTACCCACAACTTACTCTTCCAAACGGTGGGCATCCCTCAACTCAACCCTCTCGGCTACCTTGCCTTGTACAGAGTGCTAAAATATTAATGCTCACTAAATACTAAATAAATATTGCTATAATTTTATTCTATACAAGTATTGAATTTTCTGTTTTGATGAAATTTCACCCAGCGACACGAATGAAGTGTAGTTCTTGGAAGAGAGACATTGTCAAGTTACTGTATTTGAAAGCTGATCCAGTTTGTTTGTTTGGCATCCAGTTGACCATTCGAAATCCCTCAAGTGACAAGTTCTGCAACACCTCAAAAACATCGTACACCTTATCAACGACTGCGTCACGATCTTCGTACATATTCAGTAGAAATTCTAAATGAATTTCAATGACGATTTGATTGATTTTGCGTAGTATCGATGACCTCTTTGAACTTGAAAATATTTGTAGGAACACTTCCCACTCGTCTTCTTCGATGTCTAATTTTAGGTAATCAATTTGGGTTTCTGCCAAATCCAAGATGTTCAAAATACCTTCCAGTGTTCGCTGTGAGATGTTTAAAAGAAATTTCTTATCACGGGTTTCACCTTTTCCTATAGTGTACGTAATCTTGTCGGTCGTCTTATTGCTGAGCATCAAAGTTAAGAAATGCTTACCTTCTCCATACCAGAAGTTTGTGTAATTTCTCATACTAAAATCGAAAGAAAATACTTTACATCCGTATTGAGCAATCATGTTATCGAATGACCATTCGTAGCCCACCCCGAAGCTCAGAACTATGCACGACTTGGGTTTTGGCTTCACAGCTTCATCGAGGCACACAGGCTTGAAACCATCATAGATCGAGGCTTGGTTGTGGGGACAGTATCGTTTTCCACCCACGTTCACGGTCTTCAGGCATTTCCAAGTGGCTTCGTGAGTAATTTGAATCAGAGATCGTATGGCTTCATCGAAATCAATATTACTCGCATTTAATGCCATAAACCGGCTTAGGTTGAAATTATGATTTTCAGTCAAGCCCATTTCTTTGCGAGACGCACTCATGTTTGCCCTGACGATTTCATACCTGAAGGTTGCATTCGAGTTGATGTTTGTCAACCTCATTTTCAATGGAGTCGTTTGCAGAGTTGGTGGCAAAGATAACTGCTTTTTGACGTAACTCAAGCAGTACAAACATATGATTAAAATGAATAATTTTGTCCTACCAAGAGTTTTACACCTGCGCACTCGTAACATCGCTGATGCCGTTGAACAGCTGCGGTTTTCTCACGACGAGAGCACGAGCAACGCAATGTGAGATCATGTGAATTACACTAGCGGCTTCTTCATTGTTTGTGTTGCTTCTATGTCCGCAAAAATTTAATGCGAAAGATATCGCCGCGTCAGTTCAACACACAATCAAAGTTCGATGGCTTTTTTCCGTGGTACTTCTGAGTCCGTCAGGTTATTCCAAGAAATAAAGCATGAGAATCAAACAAGTCGTTCCCGCACACTGCCTGACCTTTTCCTGACATTGAATCACTTGCATTCTTTCGTTCCATACGCCGTATGCACCAATTGCGATTATACTTCCAAAGTTCCAGTCTAACTTGCGCCACTCCACCCGGATTTGCGGTGAACTTTTCAAATTCGTTTTAATTCGCCATTTTGCGGACAAATCAGCAATGAACACGACAGCGCGCGTGTTTATAAACCGTTCTGCGCCACGATGTACATTTTATCCTCATATCCTTCGACCAAAAACATTACATCGCTTGGCGCAGAGAGGAAAGTTTTCCAATAATTGTATTAGGGCTACCAAAAAAGCTACACCTTAGATCGGGCAAAAACGTGCGCGTCAAGACCGTGGAGTCAACCCGCTTTGGCAGTGATTTCGGATCAGTATTGGCCAAACGCAATATTTTTGTCACTTTCACACGACATTCATCGAGAACGGGACCACGGTTGAGTGATAAACCGTGGCCTCGTTCATCACTTAATACTGACATTCCACTCACCGCTTACCGACACTGCGTACAACCTAAATCGTTCATAACCTGAAATTGTTCGCCTACTGCAGAGAGGAAAGTCCAGCATCAAAGAAACCGACACTTTGTATATGCTACCTAATTACAGTCTAAACTTTCCAGTCTATGTGACCTCACTTTGTCGAATAAAGCGGGTAAATTGAAAATCCAGTGAAGAAAATTAAATTCCTTTTCACAAATAAACGCTTTACATCATTAATTCTCCTTTGGAAAAAATTCACTAGAAAAATAACACATAACTAGGTTATAATGACGCATTTAGAGGCAAATGTAATCTCCATCCGACTTAGGTTATTTGAAGCTGAGCTGCTAGCTAAACAATTGTAACTATCCGGTAACTATATTACCTCAAGGCGGAAAAATTGCTTGCTAGAGGCTTGAAAACAAATGGATGAATTGTCGCAATTCAAATACAAATTCAGCTCAAACTATAAACCTTCTCGTAATAACGTAAATGAATAAAAAAATTTGGTAACTTAATAACATAACATACGCAAATATCCTCAGCAAAGAATACAAAAGAAATAGTCAAAACAATTCAAATTCCGACGTCGCCAGTACTAGCAGCTAAAGTACCACATAATCGTTCAGGCAGCAGCTACGCTCCACGGTATAGGCATCTTCACCATGGTTTTCTTTAAGTAATAGTAATGACTCGTCACAACCACGACCCAAAGCCGGCTACTATGACCAACTTGGATGTCACAGCACCCTCGCTCCTACAGCATGGAATGAACGGGACTAAAGGCGAGTTTTGGCACAGCCTGTGTAATTAAGGACGGTTACTCTGCCGAGACGTTGGACGGACTCCGGCACCACGTGCTCCTCCACCTGCACGTAAGTGACATTACGTGAGCCGTCTCAACAATTAAGATAAAAATTAACCCTACAATTTTTGTTAGTCGTAAGATATACATTAACACCACAGTTGCAGCGCGAATATCATGTTATATTATTCGTGGGTTGTTGCATGTTTAGGACATCGATGACGGATATTGGCGACAGGATAAGGATAAATTTCGAGTGAAAATGTCATTTACAGCTTTTTTCAGGGCTGTGAATTTCTCAATATTTCAAGTTTCGAAACATCATGACAAGCCTGACAATTTTGGGTTGGCATTTGGAAAAATAATTAGCCGGAATAAATAATATTACAAAACAATTGCAGAAATCCTTCACAGATGAGTGCAACGACTTACTCTGACGCGCATTACGTCGTCCTTCTCAGCGTGCGCGAACATGTGCACGGTGGTGAGCTGCGCGAGGTCGACGAGAACATCGCGCATCTGCAGCGCGCGTAACTCGCACAGAAACATGGCGGACGACGCCAGGCTTTCAAGCGTCTCCTCGCTCATCGGCCGCTCGAAAAACACGCTCGAGTCCTGGACACAACCATGCACATTAGTAAACCATGTAAATAATCTCGCATTGGAAACAAGGCGTATATGGCATTAAAGGAAGCTAATCACTGATTACTTCTACTTCAGACCACAGCGTGGAATAATCAAAATAATTAATGCGTCTGCTATATTGTTCAGCATTACCACAGATGAAAGATTAATAAGTAAACAAAAAATATACGGTATATTTCTTGTTTACTTATTTCTTCTTGTTGGTATAATATCATATAATGAAATAAAATAATGATTATGGAAGCAAAATAGGTTAAAAACACGGATGAATAGACACAACGCCATTTTTAAATAAAATGATGGTAAACTTAAATGGCATCTCGTTTTATTTAGAGAGGAAAACAAACTGCGATCGTCATGATACAGATAAGAGATAACTAAACTAATAACTGATTTGTCAACGTTATTCATAAACAATAGACCAATTGGTCTATTCTAAGTAGTCAATCTAGAACCAAGACCAAGTTCCGTAAATGGAATCATGATCTGACTCGGACATGGCAACGCAGGACAAGTTTGCAGACCAGGTTTCGAGGGCACGAACATTAGACAAGTAGTCTATATAAAAGTAAGACTAATTTTCATAATTGACAGCATGATCAGACTCCAGCATTGCGGCGCAAGACACGTTCTTAGACCAGGTGTCGAGAGCATAAACATTATAACAAGAAGTCTATATAAAAGTAAGCCCGATTTCTACAATTGCAAGATCATGATCTGACTCCGGCATTGCGGCGCAGGATGCGATCGTAGAGTAGATGTCGAGGGCTGAGCCGCAGACGTCGCAGCAGCAGCGTACTCAGCAACGGTACGAACGCCGGACACTTGCCCTTCTCCTGTATCACGTGTAGGTAGATCTCAGCGGCCTGCGTGGCAGGAATCATGGGTGGCAGTTAGTAAGGCACTAGAAGGAAATATGAAGAGAATATATATAGCTCATTTGAATCAGAATACATAATAAATAAGACTGACTGTGGGCAGCAATTTGGGATGACAGTAAATCACTAGAAGAAAATATGATGAGCATAAATAAGGCTCATTTGAATCAGAATACATAATAAGTAAGACTGACTGTGGGCAGCAATTTGGGATGACAGTAAATCACTAGAAGAAAATATGATGAGAATAAATAAGGCTCATTTGAATCAGACTATAAATAAATACGGCTGACAGTGGGCAGCGATTTGGGATGACAATAAATCACTAGAAGAAAATATGATGAGAATAAATGAAGATTATTGAGAGTGTTTCACGACAGCGGAGTAATTATCTCATTAGCCGCGACCCATGCTCAATCAGGCCAAACCACACTGGCCGTGAAATGGAAAAATTTGTAGCTCCATTTTACTCATTTTTACCAAGAGAATTGATACAGGATGTAAGCTGTTTGTCCATCTGCAATTAGTGTAATTGCATCTGTAAATTCCGGAATTAACAGTCCGTCTTGCTAATGATCAGTAGTTTTACTGGAGTAAATCCAGTAAGTAACTTACTAATGAAGTAATATACGGAGTAATACTAGCTACTTATAGGGGAATTGAAAACTTATGATCGAGGCTATCCTATCTAGAATGCCTTCTGGGCTCACGCATATAAGTTTTGGAACTACATCGACCAGCTCGATGAGGAACAAATAAGAAATATCAAAGACGATGAATTTGGAATACCAATTTCGTAAAAGAGCTACTATTTGAAGGCACGTGTTGTTCTCACCTGAGTGTCGAAGACATTCTTGAGGACGAGGTGTGCCTGGTGCAGCAGCAGGTCCTGTAGATTACGTGCATCGTGCACCACGATCTCTACGCCAGGGTCCTCTAGCACGTGTCCTAAATATCTGATGCCTGCCCCTGAGACACGTGGCAGCTGAGGCTCGTCTTTTGTATAATCTTGGCTGGCTACGAAAATGTCGCTTACATTCGAAGAACAATCGCTCCTTTCGTTTTTTATTTCAATGTGACGGCCTGGCTCTTCACTTGTTACTTCAGCTCTAGATCCACGAACATCGCCAGCAGCATCCCGTACCCCATTGACAGGCCCAGTTACATTTCCAGCAGCATTAAGTCCTCCATTGACAGGCCTATTTATATTTCCAGCAGCATCAAGTACTCCATTGACAGGCCTATTTACATTTCCAGCAGCATCAAGTACTCCATTGACAGGCCCATTTACGTTTCCAGCAGCATCACGTACTCCATTGACAGGCCCATTTACATTTCCAGCAGCATCAAGTACTCCATTGACAGGACCATTTACATTTCCAGCAGCATCACATACTCCATTGACAGGCCCATTTACATTTCCAGCAGCATCACATACTCCATTGACAGGCCCATTTACATTTCCAGCAGCATTAAGTCCTCCATTGACAGGCCCATTTACATTTCCAGCAGCATCACATACTCCATTGACAGGCCCATTTACATTTCTAGCAGCATCAAGCACTCCATTGACAGGTCCATTTACAGTTCCAGCAGCATCAAGTACTCCATTGACTGGCCCATTTACATTTCCAGCAGCATCATGTACTTCGTTCACAGGTCCCCGGGGAGCGTAAGCAGAGTCAGACGCAACATCTTCTGCCACATTATGGGCAGCTGCACCTACACCAGCAGCACGTGGTTCGTCTCGTTTGCCACGCTTCTTGTCCGTCCCGAACAACAGCGCTTGCAGCCCGATGGTGGCGACGTCGAAGAGGTAGACGGTGTGGGTCGTGGCAACCACGAGCCAGGCAAGCGCGCCCCACCTGCCCAGGCGCTCGCCCACCGGCGCTACACCAACGCGCTCCTCGCTCATAATTGCCACCACCTGCACACATGGCAAATGCACGATCAAGAATTTCATGTTGATTTGACGTGCTTTCAAAACTAACTACGGTACACGTAGAGTCCTCAATAAACGTGATGAGCACGGTCAAGAATTTCATGTTAATTTGGCATGCTTTCAAAACTAACTACGGTACACGTAGAATACTCAACGAAGGTGATGTGCACGGTCAAGAATTTAAAGTTAATTTGGCGTGCTTTCAAAACTAACTAAGGTACTCGTAGAGTTCTCAATAAACGTAATGTGCACGGTCAAGAATTTCATGCTAATTTGGCGTGCTTTCAAAACTAACTACGGTAGACGTAGAGTACTCAATAAAAGTGATGTGCACGGTCAAGAATTTCATGTTAATTTGCTGTGCTTTCAAAACTAACCACGGTACACGTTGAGTCCTCAATAAACGTAATGTGCACGGTCAAGAATTTCAAGTTAATTTGCCGTGTTTTCAAAACTAACTAAGGTACTACAGGTAGTGTTCTCAACGAACGTGATAGTCAATTTGCGGTCTGTAATTAATGGGTTTAGCTTGAAACACATCAGTGATCAACTGACGGACTTACTAACTCGTAATTATTTTCTATAGTACGACCCCCATGAATGTAATCATGTCCAATTAAATGTTGAAAAGACGGCAGGCTTTGAAATAAAAAAGTGATCTTTTGATTAGAGCGTCAGTCATTTGACTCCATTTATATTATACTGTACAGAACGTAGTTTGAGGGTGAATTGGTTAATAACTGAGTTATGAAAGTTATTGGAAGTTAGAGTGAAGGTGTTGAGAAGGCTATAGTAATTTGGGGTGAAAGTGCGTAAAGCTTGTATGGGACGCGAGACCGTGAAACCAAGGGTTGTTCTCGAGACCAAGGGTTTGTTTATAGCTTGGAATGCTCCTAGGTATTGAAAGGATGACTCTGGCACAATTTGAAACCGTTGCGGCGTCACTTCGAAGGGTATAGGCTTACTGTGGACGACACCAGCGTATATAAGCGCCCTAAAATTCGCGCCAAAAGTTGTTCTACTGTGGTAACCGTCACACCAATAGGTTTGCAGTTATCTCTGCAACCGCTTCGACCGTTGGGCGGAAGATCGCGAAATAACGGCCGCGCGAAACATCGAGTCATTCATACCACCACGACTCCGATATAACAACGTCAAAAATCTACAAGGAACGACTACGATATATTTATGTACGGTCACCATCAACACTCAGGCTGCGACTCAGCCGTGAGACAACGCGAGAGGCCACGAGACGTCCAACGACTATAGTGCCGGCAATCGTGAAGATTCAAGTTTTAAGCACCGCGCAAGAATTATGTTTTCGGTACGGCCATAAGCACGGCATGGTCACAGTCATCGTCAGTAGCGGTACGGCCACGACCACCAGCAGCAGAAGCACGGAAATGAGTTTGGAATAAAATTATCGACGAGGAAGACTTCACCACTCACTATTCACCGCGGTCGTTATAAAAGAACCTACGTCCAGACTGTCCGTGAGACCATTTATAACAGCGAGACACGAAGACGATGGAGAAAAACGACCGCGGGCATATGGGATGCGCGGCTACGGCAGCCGCTGGAAATACGGTCGCAACGTGTGCATGGGTTACGGTCGTTTATAAGTTTACAACAGCCGTACGACTCAACAGAACTGCAACGGATCAACGTTTCTGGTAAATAGAGAAATTTTGAATGAAGTTAACTGATAAATTCTCAATTTTAATTGTGTTCGGACTTCATTTTTCGTGTACTAGAAATTTTATTCAACGTAGGTTGTAAGCTTGAATTTTTCAATTTAGTATGAAATGTACCAGTGTCTCATTGCAACCCTCTCTCTACGATTTTTGCCGAAACTTGTTCATACGAAAACTTACAAACGTGCCTTAAGTAAGCCACTACGGAAACCAACCTGAAAGAATTAAAGCAATTGGCAATCAAACAATTAAACCCAAAGTCTTCAATATTGTTGTAAATTTACATACCAACGACCAAAAAATACTCTTTCATAAATTTTATGAGATGACACGTGGTGAATAGATATTTGAAAATCAATATCGCGTCGTTCATAACTCTAACTCAACTGAGCCTTAGAAAAGCGAACTGATATTAATATTTTTGATGACATGTAGTCCAACGTTTAGCGAGCGGCATCGAGACATCTATGTTGCACAGGCCTGGATAGTAATCAAGGTTTGACCAACAAAATAAACCCATTCCAAAAGGCCAAAAGTCAACAGTCTTATATCACATCAAGTTTATTATGCAATGGAATAACGATCACGTAAAAGTTTGTCACTCACGGCGTCGAAATACGAAGCGTCCATCGCGTCGATGATCGTCCACGAGTGTGGACGACGCACACGGAGGACGGGGGGCGGCAGAGGAGGGCGTGGTTCATCGTCGTCCGTGTCGTCGTTATCATCGCTCGTGTCCATAAGATGAGGTCGAACCAACTTCTTCATGAGCAGCGAGCGGCCGCGCTTCTCCTCGATCACGTTCGATTTCTGCCACAAGAAATGCATTAAGTTTATTTAATGAATAATTTTTGTTGATATGGTCAATAAGACTACATGATGAGTAAAGTTTATTTAATGAATAATTTTTGTTAATATGGTCAATCAGATGACAGGATAAAATGAATTTAAATTTAAATTTAAGAAGGAATGCATTAAGTTTATTTAATGAATAATATTTGTTAATATGGCCAATAAGATGACATGATAAAATACATTTAAATTAAAATTTAAAACGCCAAGTGAGCCTGCTTTTTGGATCAATTGGTTTAGACGATATTCAAAGCATATGATATATTAAAAATGAACTTTGAGGATAGACATATTAAAACATCAATATTAATCACAAAACAAATTTTCCCTTCTGGTATGTGCGAAGACAGACACATCATATTGAACTATAATTATCACAAATTCTATATAACAGAGAAAAAACACCATGGGTGCATTAACATTTCAATTTTTACTGTGAATTCATTACAGACAAAAAAACTTTCTAGGTTTAATCATGAGCAGATAATTTTTTTTACCACATTCATGCAGGTAATGTCTTCAAGTTACAATTTACATGAAAAATCTAGTTTTGTCAAGGAAATATGAAAGCATTGATGGATATGGTACTAAAACAATTAATTGAGAACTATAAAATCAGAGCTCTTAGGCTGCACTAGTAAATGAAGATTTGAGTTATACCTTGCATAGAATATAGCAAAAAATAAACATTGGTAAATCAAACAAGATAAAAAGGTTTGGAAAGGCACTATTTCTAGTTTTAAAGCTTGTTACAATAGAATATGAAGTGATTAGAGTTTATGATTTGGCTCATGATTCTGGCTAAAGGCTCTATAACCAAAAATCATACATTAGCATAATCAAGGATTGGGTACGGTAATCAATGGCAGGATTTAAAATAAAACATTTCTCACATATTTGAGTGGGTCATTTGCACGTCCGGCAATGAGAGTGTTAAAAGGATAGGGTAATCAATGGTTGGGTTTAAGACAAAACACTTCTCACATTAGGCATATATTTGCGGGGGTCATTGGCACGCCTGGCGAGGAGTGTGACGCTGTCGATGTGTCGGTAATGGAGCAGCAACAAACCAACTCTCTTGATACCAGTTGCTGGGTTGCTGGCCTGTCACAAAAAACATTACATGACCGTTTTCTTTTTACTACATATTAAGCCTGACTTAACATAGTAAAAAGCCAGCACTATGTTTTTCTGTGCAAAAACACAAATACATAAGAATTTTATTGCAACCAATATGATTTCTTTGAAACATGTCAGTTGATTCTAATAGACATTAATATTAATTTCAAAATTTGTTTTAAATCTACAAAAATCAACTTATGGGATATTCTCAAGCTTCAAGCACAGTTCTAAATCACTAATGGTACTGACGTCAATGAAGAAGTTCAAAGATTCTAGATTATAATGATACCTCCTCTAGACCAAGGCAGCCGCAATGATGCAACATCCAGCAGGCAGATGTACGTAACCAATGTAGGAGCCTTCTTTTATATAACATTTTATATAATATATATGCATATATATGTATATCTATATGCATACCGGTATATATGTATATCTATATATGTATATGTAAGATCTTCCTCTGCTTTTATATAATACATCATGCATCCGACCTTCTTTTATATAATATGATAAAAAAGAAGGTATAATAATACCTTCTTTTATATAATACCTCCTCTAGACCAAGGCGGCCACAATGATGTAGCATCCAGCAGATGTAGCCAATGTAGGAGCCTTCTTTTCCCTGCACCAACACCTGCCATCCCAGAACGCACGACCCCAGTGACTGCAAGTTGCAATAATTCAATAATATAATTAATAATAATAATTCAATAATAATAATAGAACTTGCCGTAACACATTGTTATACAGAAACATGGCCACACTTGTCATGAGTTCAGTCTATTGAGAAGAATACAAATTCAATCAGGGTGATAATTATATTTATGAGAGCATGAATGTTAATAAAAAATGAATGACATATGTACACAGGAATGCATTTATCAAGGAATTTAGAAGGAGTGATGAGATATCTTGAATGTTGACAGTTAGAAAACCATAATTAAATTCAAATTAAAAATTCGACATACCTGCTAAATCATAACAAAGTAAAATTGCATCACTTGTTACTTCCAAAGTATAACTCAAGAGAAACTATGGTTAGTCTCCACATGACAATTACTTGAATAACAACACATCTATATGAGTGATTTAAATCTTGGAATGAGTGATGAATGTAATTCAAATTATAAATACAGTGACTAAACTATCTAACAGAGCAATTTAAATGATTGTGAATGAGATCAGATATAAGATGCATAAATTCTACATAGAAGGAATACCACTACAGATGAGCACTAACAAGAAGCTGCCCAAACCTTGTTACCACAGGCCTGATGCTGACTGGAACCCAATGGCTGCAAGTTAGAAAGTTGAACTAAGCCGGCCTGATGCTGACTAAAACCCAATGGCTGCAAGTTAGAAAGTTGAACTAAGCCAGACAGAAGCTGGCATGTACCCAATGAAGTTTATAGGAACTTTAGTAGCAGAAACAAAAGCTTACATAAAACTAGGTGCAGGAGCTAGTAGCTATTGTATACCTATATAACTAAAAAAGATAGAAACTGACATGAAAATAATGAGCAGGAGCAAGAAGATGACATGAAATCAAAGAGCGTGAGAAATACCTATAAGGTATGTTTTAAAAGTACCTAGGTACCTTTGGATATAATAAAGATATTTTTTCCCAGTAATAATATATCCACAAGAAAGGTCTTGCATTTCTCTATTTCTCTGCTTAATTTACAATAATATTGAGGCATTTGTTGTATCTTGTGACCAGCTTTGTATGCCATCATCAAAGAAGTTTGCTGCCTGATAAGGCAAAGTTGTAAGCAATGCACTTCACTTATTTGGTTATATGAATATCAAATGATTAGAAATCTTCAGCAGAGAAGCTGTATTACGGCATGCACTTCGCAGTCATTGGGATTCTTAATAGGTGGATGCACTTTAATTCATGTAAATAGATGTAGACTTAATTGGATGGCTCTGTTATGGCACCTGTCTTCCCAACAGATGTAGCTACACAGTGAAAATACGTGAAATGGCGGCGGCAGTACTAGAAAACAGTACATATGTTAAACACAAGCTTTGTAGCATGCATTCATCTAAAGAGCAGAACCCAGAAACTTGCATGAAATTAAAAAGCAGAAGTAAAACATTGAAAGGAAACTAAAGAGCAGAAGCAAAACATTGACATGAAACTAAAGATCACAGCACTAACCATAAGCTGGGTCATAGAAAGCTGCAGTGGAGGCTGCATTTGGAAGCCAGGAGGGGCAGTCTGGACCAACTGAGTAATGCGACTATGTGATGTGCCATGAGGGACTAGTGCTGTACTCTCATTCTCCCTTGGCTCACTCCAGAGCATTAATGACTTGCTTATAGGTTTTAATGGCAGCTGCATTGTAATTGGTTCATACACTCTATTATTGTTATCACAGATGCACACAGTTAGCTGTTTCTTTGATTAACAACTATGGGTACATTTGATACAGCTATTTTCATGGAAGTATTACAAACAATAACTACATTCTTTGCCCATCTGCACGAAATGTTTTAGCATTGAATTAATTTCTGAAGCAACTTTTGGCTGGTCATTTAGTTGCTTAATGATGCCATCCTTTGATCATAATGATAATGACCTTAATGAGCATTTGAGATAGTTGCACAGCAATTAAAATTGAATTCAACAAAAAATTTTATCAATTAATAAATCAATCAAATAATAAATACACAAGTTAAATACATAAATCAAATATTACTCTGTATGTCTCAGAGCAGACCAGAATGAATTAAGTTGTTAAAATGGAGTAAAGACAATCAAACAAAATTGTACATTTTCTTGTAATATTTTTAATATTTTCTCTCCATTCTTAGAATAATAAGATGTAACATATTTAATTAAATTAGAGCAGAATCAACAATGTTGGAAAGAAGAAATGAATCAAGCAATATATTCATACTTCCTTCTCTGTAAATATGTATACATCTATTTAAAGATCTTCTTTAAATTGAACTTAACAGTCACAAGAGGAAGAAATACATTTATATTCTGAACTAAATCATGAGATGATTGGTAAAAGTTGAATTCATATGAAAGTTGATAGACCTATCACAAATGTACATCTATTCACACCAATTATATGCGTATATAGCTATAACAAAATGGAATGGAAAATAATATTTTAGAATATTTAGTCTAATTTGTCAGGTTTCTTTTCCCCCGACTTGACTGCTCTATATATGAAGACACCAAGCAGGACATGTAGCAACAGCACCGCAGCAACAGCCGCCCAAACATTGGCCAGCGTCTCAGTGAGACCCAGCACACCTGAACACAATTACATGATTTCAGGGCTGGAATATAACCTTCAAAGGGATTGTTATTATACACCTTTCACTTTTAGATATTTTTAGCGCATTTTATCGTTTATGGAAAAAATGCCCTATTGTGCTCGTCATGTCCGTCCGTCCGTCTGTCTGTCTGTCTGTCCATCTGTCTGTTTGTGTCTTCACGTTTTTGTCAATGAGAAAATGTGCTCTCTGTCACTCGCTGTCACTCGAGTGCTGAGTTATATTTTTTCATTTGAAAGCATTGTACTTTTCATCAGCTTATCCCATATTTAATTAACATGTGGATTATCATTATCATAAATAATGATTAATTGGTAAAATTAATATAGGTATAGTTAGGGTACCGTATGTATATGAATTCTTCTCAGTCAAAATTTATTTAATATATGTATATACAGTAACTAAGTATTGTATGGTGTAAGGACCTGTCTTAGTAATAAATTGTCATCTCAAAAATTATTACATCTATTCATTTGCAATTAGACTAGTGAAATATTAAAAACTGCCATTATCAGCTTCACTGGATGCTTACCCACAAAAATGTAAGACTTCCCAAAAAGGAAGAGCCCCACGGGTGTGAGAATAAGGAGGAGCACAATGGGTAAGACAGCCTGAAGCAATGAAGCTTCTGTGGGACCCTGTTAATGGTTCATAAAAATTAAGGCTTTCAGCATATGTTATAAATGCTTCCGTCCCAAATTTTACATTTGGTTAAATGCTGTTCTTTTCATTAAAAAGTTAATATATGAATGTAAATATTATGTCTAACATTTTATTTTCATAAGGTGTAAAAACTGCAATATAGACATTTTATTTCCTATCAAAATGCAGTTTAATACACTAAATTTGTGAAAGATTGCTTGGTTGAAACCATTATTGTGAGCTATAAATAATCTTTTCACTGTTATGTTGCAATGTTAGATAATAATTTATCAGTAATAATAATAAAATTTAAAGGTGTGAAATAATATTTCAGATTTATGATTTAGGTTATGTTCTTACCTTGTCTCCTAAGAAGCTGTCACTGTTAATAACAGAAGAAATTTTCTTGTTTGACATTGCCATTATTGGTTCTATTTATTAGAATAACAAATATCTAATCAATTCTGGAAAGGCAACATTAAATTTATTTATATTCAAAAAAGACAAATGGAAATATTATGGATAATACTGCCACATTTTAGTCTAGCTAACCAAATAAACTCTTCTCCATAGTTGATAAGTTTTTCAAGAATTAGTTCACGTTTTTTAAGAACATTTTTGAAAACTTTTGGGTCTATGCTGAATAACAACAATTGATCAAGAATCTCCGAATTGATATGAATATATTATCCAATGTAATCGTAAATACAAAATTTTGTCAACAGGCATATACTTTTCCTTATCTTCAGGTTGAATTTGGTCAAAGCTCATAGCCCAACAAAGATTTTTCAAGACCTCAATAACAAACCTAAAAATATTAATTAGGCTATGCACTCTACTCTTTCTTGTGTAGTTAATACTTTCTTCCTGAAAGCACATATAATATTTTGGGTATTCTCAATGCTTTAATTGCTTTTCATATTGAAATGGATGCCTACAAATTTTCATTTCCCTAGTACCTTTAATATATTTGCACTCATTCTTAAAGATCCAGTTGCAATTTGTGATTGAATCAAAGGCACTTGTGATATATATACAGTGGGGGGAAATAAATATTCGTACACTTGAAAAATCGTAATCATTGGTCGAGACGTATAGAAATAGACTGGTGTCTGTTGAGCTGAATAAAGGTTATTCAACCAAGTATTAAATTAAAATAATGCGGATTTATTGTTTTGTACGAATACTTTTTTCACCCCGAAAAGTGAACATGTTGCATTGTTTTTTGTTGCATTGAGATTTAATTTCTTTTGATAGTATTTTTGAATACTATGCGTCTCTATACATAATTTAAATCACTTTTCATGTTAAGTTTGTGTACTTACATACATTAAAATATGATTTTTCAAGTGTACGAATATTTATTTCCCCCCACTGTATATATAAGATTGTTTGTACAGGTTACCTACCTAGACTACCAAAACTACTTGTAAAGAGGTATCAAAAGAGACATGTCTGCAAAGTCTCGAAGGGACCAGCTACCCTAAAAATCAAAATTTTCAGCTTTTCCTCTTTTTATGCTCATTTTAAAGCTTACTTTCTGCAGCATCAAATGGTACTAGAACCATCTCTGTACGTTGATTTATGCATTCTCGACAAATCCCGAAAGGGAGGAGGGAGATGGAGTCACTTAATAAAACTCTAAGGGAATTAATTCCGGCCTGACATTATAAATGTGCTCTCAGTGGACCTGCAGCTCAGTTACCTCCCAGCTATCTTGTGGAAAGGTGTTTATGCAGTCGCTCTATGCATCGCTGACTGACTCTCAAGTGAGATGATGCTTACCTTCGGTATCTAAGCTACGTTACATGCCTTCAAATATTGCGCATCGGTTTATTGCCTCTACTGAAAAGTTGTGAAACCTGAAAACCTCTCTCACGGCAAACCTATCTCCTCCTAGAGTTTTGAAGCTACAGCAATGAGACAAATACCATTCGATTTGGAAAGGAAAGATCTAGTGATGAGCATAGCATTTTTTTTCGATTTCGTTTTAGTTTGGATTATATATTGCAAAATGGGAGGGGAGGAGGGGGGAAATTTCAAAAATGTGAAATTTTTCAGAAAAATCATCATAACAAAAGAACCAAGAAAAAAATTGAAAAAATGGCTTGCTGAGCGCTAGATATTGTCCATACAAATTGAATGATACGTGTCTTGATGTTATAGCACAATATTTGTAGGAGGAAATAGACTAAAAAGTCTAAAGTACCCACATTTTGGTCATTTTCTATCAATTTCACGTTTTCTTTCTTTTTTTTTTGAAAAATTTATATGAGCAAATTGTTTTTTATTTCACATTTTACGTATGTGTATAAAATTTCAGCAAGATCGGAAGATAAAGTAGAAGTTTTTCTGGAGGGTAGCCGGTCCCCTTAAAAGACATGGATTTTGATTCTGATGTGTGCTGTTGCCCAAGATCTTCATATCATTGCTCACTCTTGCCTCTTGGGTCTTGGCATCACCATCATGCCAGCCAGCCCTAAGCGGAAGAAACGATAACTGATGAACCAAGACTCTTGTAATCAACTGACAACTCTGCTGCTTGTTATGACAATGAAAAAATGTTATACTAATTTCATATGATGCTTTTTGAAATCATAATTGAATGATAATTAAATTCTGCATGTTATCACAGTGACAAAATGTGCATCAAGATTGAAGCAGGCAGCAAACCAGCAAGGCAGCAACCAGTCAGCTGAATGGCAGCAACCAGAAATTGTGTCAGCTGAATGTCAAAATGTACAAAATAGGGAGCTTTAGCTAACTACAGTTAGTACAGTATTCATAGCCTGATGGCTGATAGCCTGATAGGGCCTTTGCCACCTTCCATGCTCAAGAAACAAATGTGACTTGAATACACAAATTCTACCAGCAAGTATTTTTAGCTCATTTTCTCATTTATGGAAAAAGTTGCTATACATGCTATTCACACAGCTATTGTGCTTGACTGCTTGTCATGTCTGTCTGTCAGTCCATGACTTTAAACTTTCATCAACGAGAGAATGTTCTCTCTGTCACTTACTGCAGTGAGTACCAAATAATATTTTTTAGTCCAAGCTACACTAACAATTGTGCAAATGCAATGACTTTTTTTTTTGTCTGTCAGAAACTTTGTATTAATCAGTATTAAAGCCTATTAATTGTTGTAATATTGTTTTAGGAAACTGTGTTTTACTCTTGCTAGATGCCATAAAAATTACATTCTTCATTATCATTAAATTCATACCTACTTTTATCATATTTTCAACTAATTCCATAAGTTTAACAGCAAAAAATAAGTTCTTAGAAAAAGCATTATATATTATTTAGCCTATACCAGTATGCATAGTGACAAACCAGAGATTTTTTAGAATCAATTCATTTCAATTTCCTCATTTACCCAAGATTTAAACCAATTTCTTATGTATGATGATGCTGGTATCCAGGATACTTTGCTGGTCTACTCATAGCCTAGGACTCAAAAATGAACTTGAGGGAGAGACTAAAAAACTCTCTGCTTTGCCACTATGCCGGTATGTATTTCATGAGGCATTAACTGATTAAGCAGAACTCTGCTGAAAGCCAGAAAGGGATAAACTAAATGGTAATCAAGTCCAACATGCAACAAATAATAGATCTGGCCAGTGTCAAGTATTTTATTATTTGATGGACAATCAACAAATTAAATTTGAAATACAGACAATTTTTTGAAAATTTGAGGATATAAACAGCCATGTCATTGTCAGGGGTTAACTCTTTAAAATTTAAATCATGGACAAAAAGGAGCCATTTTCTTTATTAGAAAAAAATGTTGGCACATGCCAAACAAAATAGTGAATTATCTTCACACTGCACATGCTGACATGCACATTATCTACACTGATACACAGCGTCAGAGCCTCAGAGGTCAGCGCGCGCATGGGAAATGCCCATGCCATTTCTGTCTGACTGTCTCATTCACAGTGACGGTACCACAGGTGGCTTTTGACAGTTTTGTTCAATTTTTCAGTTTGAGTGTGACTGTCACTGTATGAGCAGTCAGCAGTGCGTACTACGTTAGGCTAGTATGTTTTGAGTGACATGCCAATTGCCATGATTGCCACCTGGCGCAACTTCGTTGCTGACAGACGCGGCTCAGACGCCGACGTTGACTCCGAAGACCTAACTTAAAGTTAAATCCCAAACACTGGCGCATTTGCGTTCTTCTTAGTAGTTCCAAGATGAAAAATGTAATGTCAGCTCAACGAATGCCGCTTACTTTTTCCCTAAAGCTATAATTACTCTGACAATATCTTTCATGATTTTAATGTTTCAACCGTTTCTCCAATGCAATTAATACCCACTTCCGAAAACAACCTTCCCAAGTTCCCATCCCAAACGATGAGTCGATGACTAGGCTATTGCTCTTGCGAACTCGATTTCCTCACCTGACAGATGTAAACAAAAATGCCAGATGAATTTTGTTGAATTTATAATAGCAAACTCACAAAGAAAAATCATTTGGATTTAAATAATTTTATACATGGTTATTAATCTTCATACGTTTACTTTAGCGCTCGAGCGAATTCCCTCGAATTCCCTCCTCATTTGTATAACCAAAAATTTTTGTTTGATAATGTTTTTTGATCCGCTCATATATTTTTATTGCCCTACAAAAAATTTTCAAAGTTATTTGCAGTTGGTATAATAACGAGATTAATTTAGTCGAGCTATCATATGTGACTCCAGGCAGGTCACTTGCCAGTGAAATTAGTATCTTTCTTGCGATCGGGCTCGCTATGCTCCCGCGTTTCCACGTAATCTGCGTGTTGTTACGCCGCCATGTTTGTTGCACACTCGCGCCTTACCTTATTCTTCCGTCCTTACACGTTTGGATGTTTTGGTGGCAATGGAGAAAGAAAGGGGTGAATAGCTAGAGGTCAGCATAGCCCAAGTCTACAGTGCGATTCATATACCTTCCCCAGCGTAAAGGCCCGTTTACACTAGTGGCAACGACATGCGCTTTGAGTCGTTTGCTGCAGTGCCTCACCGCGCACAACCGTTCACACTACTTTTGTACTCGGCAGTTTGAGACTGCGCGCTTTGAACACTAGTTGCCACCTAGACGTCAATGAGGATGGATGTAACCGAATTTGAGCTGTGGGCCATTGTTCTCGGGTGTGCTGCGGTCCGTCATTCTTCGCACTATGCCAGTTGTAAACGAGAATTTAGCATAGGCATCATAATTAGCGAACTAGCATATTCAAAAAGATACAGTTTATAAAAATATAGTCTATTCTTAAATAAAAAGTTCCGATATTATACCTATCCTTTGAAATCGCTAAACGGTAATGCATAAATTGTCAGGAGTTGCTAAAATCACATAAACTAAACACTTCATGTAAAAATAACTTACATCATTTGCATTTCGATTTTTGTACTCCTTTGACCGAACACTACATAGGCATTCGTGTTCTCTATAAAGATCAATTAGGCGCTCTACTAGAGAGTGACTCCAAACGAGAGTGGTGTTAG